ACACCTGCTAGCTCTGTGACCTTGGACAACTTACTTAACTTCTCTGAGGACACTGACTCCAAATGAGTAGAGATCAACGCAGGAAGGTTCCCTAACCTAAAATTCCCTGCATGGATGAAGTCACGGTTCTGGAGCAAAAATAACAATAATCATTGGCAATCATCCATGATTGACAATAACTCCTGAAATCCTCTCCAGGCCAGGGGCTCCCTCTGTTCATTCCACTGACGTCCCAACTGCAGACTTGGACGGTTTGTTTTGAGTGGCCGCTTTTCTTTTTATCCTGAAGACAAAGGAATCACTTTTTTTAGGAAGAAACCCCAGGGTAGGAAGAAAATTCAGGCACTTTGTCAGTCAGGCAGAGTGTGGTGCTGATGCCACCAGGGACTGCCCTGATTTTTGGCAGGGTCTTTGAGGTGGTTAAGACAAAGGGTAATGTCATCGTCAGGAGCATCTGTGACAAGACAAGGAGGGGAGTGAGATCACCTCCTGAATCCTTTGGCCGAAACTGGTGATGAGCCAGTGGGCAGAGCTGGACCTGGAGTTAGGACCTCGATGGCTATGTCTCTTACCCTCCCAGCCTCAGCCTGCTCATCTGGAAAATGGGAATAAAAATAATACCTGGAGCACCTCCCTCATGAGGTTTCCGGGACGCTAAAATGAGATGCTGTTCTTAAAAGGGTTTTTCACTAATCCGAGCCTGATGTAAAACGGAGACCATGTTACTCCCTTAAGGATTATCGTGGGGTTCAAATAAGATAATGCAAGGGATAGGGACCAGACTATGATTTCATTGGTATAGGGAACTCCCAGCCCTCTACCAGTGCAGGCCAGCACTGTCTCTGCTTGGAGACTTTGCACTGTGCCTGGCACACAGAAAGAGCTCAATAAATGCTTATTGCCTGGAACGCTGAGAGCCTAAAGTATATGCCAGAGGCAGCATTGGAGCCCAGGTCTTCCTGGCCCCAAGGCCAGCTCTATCCACTGCACCACACTGCCTGCTTGATAGGAACAGAATGATTGACCAACCTGGTGTAACCTCCAGCCTAGACGAGGATTCCTCTGACAAAGGACCTGCAGAAAAAGAACTTGGCCCCAAGCACTGTTGTCTTCATCCAGTCTGAATCCTGACCCTAAATTAGCTGATGTTCTTGGGGAACAGCTTTGTCCCCCGTCCCCAGCTTTACCTTTCTGTTTCTTGCCGGTCTTTATCTTATTTATCAAGCAAAGGTTGTTCTTATGTATATCCCGGACTTGTTGAGTCTCCCCAGCAGAATAGAAGCTGCTTGAGGGCAGGGCTGTTCTCATTTTTGTCTGTATATCCTCAGTGCCTGGTCAGATGCTGGGCACTTAGGAAAGGCTTAATAAATGCTTGTTGAGCGGGCAGCTAGGTGGCACAGTGGATGGAGCTCCAGCCTTGGAGTCAGGAGGACCTGAGTTCAAATCTGGCCTCAGATACATGACACTTACTAGCTGTGTGACCCTGGGCAAGTCACTTAACCCTGATTGCCTCATTGCCTCACAAAAAAAAAAAAAGGCAAAAAAAAATACTTTTTGAAGGACACACAACTAGTAAATAGTAAAGCCAGGATTCAAACTCAGGTCCCACGGTACAAGTTTAGTGCTGTTTCCACTACACCACGCTACCTCCCTGGTATCTATTGTGACAAAACAAATATTGTTGTTCAGTCAAAAAAAAATGCTTGTTGATTGATGGAGTTGTGTTTTCCTTTTCTCAGGCCACAGATGTGCAGATATGATCTCGTCCTGACAGAAAACAAAGAAACAGCCTTTCAGCCCATCCTTTGCTAGACGCTTACACCGGGCAGCAGCTCACAGAAGCTGTCATTTTGCTGTCAAGCAGAGAACGGACCAGAGTGCACATACGTCTCTGCGGATGTCTTGAGCTGTATCACAAAATGCCACACGGTTTTAGGACCATAAAATAATTCTGGAGCGCGAACGTGGATCGGGGGAGTTTTTCAGGGAGGTGATGGTATTTGTTGGGGCTGGCACCTTTAGCTTCCTATGCTTGGTCCCAGGATCCAGGGACCATCTAGGACATTTTCCCTAGGGGTTTAAGTGACCAGGAGGCTGTGGACAGGAGGCCCAACTTTGCTCTCACTTGCTTGTGGCTTTCACTATGGGCCTTTGGCCTATCTCTTCCTCAATTTCTGCCTGGGCTGATATGATAATCTACCTCTCAGGGATCTTGGGAAAGAGAAGGACTCAAGTCTGTGAAGGGATTTGAAATATGAAGCTAAAATGCCTCTTCATGTATGTTGTATGTGTTCTACGTGAATGTGTTATTTATTCTAAATGGCCCAACAAAGTGTAAGCTTTTGGAGGGCAGGGACTGTTTGTTTTTGTATCTCCAATGGCTAGTTCAGTGCCCAGCACAAATTAGGTACTTAATAAATGCTTGTGGAATGAATGGATATGTTATAATAATCCTCCTTCCCCAGATTCCCACTCCACCCCCACTCTGAGAATACTATATTCAAAGAGAGAACAGTGCTCTGGCTTTGCTCTCTTCTTGCGTGGGGAATACGTTGGGGAGATGGGAGGATCAGAGAGTCTCTGGGGCTCCACTGTGATGGATGAAAAAGAAAGGGATAGCACAGGGGCTGCAGCAGCACAGGGGCAGAGGGAAGGAGTAGAGGCAGCCAGCCCCCTTCTCCCTCTAGCTCTCTCCCCAGCCACTGAAGTGCTGAGAGACAGCCAGAGCAGAGGGCAGGTCGGAGAGAAAGACCCGCAAAGCAGCAGCGAGTTCTCCTTGCCAGGGTTCAGCCCACTAAGCCTACACCAACGAGATAGCCAGGACCCACCTGCTATGGCAGCTTGCTGAGAGGTAGTGTAGGGTGGTGGGTGGGGGAATGGATCTGGATCAGGAAGACCTGGGGTTGAATCTGGCCATGCTACTTAGGGCAAGCCATGACCTCCATGAGCCTCTCTTTTGTAAAAGGAGGAAGGGGGCAGGGTTTGAAGTAGATGGCTTCTGAAGTATATGATAATATAATAATTATATTGATAATTGATATCATGATAATACCATGATTTACCATTTACCATGATAATAACCTTATAATAAGGTAGAGTCTTCTCAATCCATCCAGATTCCAGAGTTCCTCTGGAATTTCTACCCCCTCATCTCATTCTGAGGCCTTGCTGGAAGCACGAGATTAGCACTGAGTGGACGCTCCATTGCCTGCCATGGGAAACTAACCAGGTCCAAAAACTGGGTTTCTTGCGGGGGGGGGGGGGGGGGCCCCCACTGGGAGCCCAGAGGCCACAAAGGAAGCTGCAGCTACTTAGCGTATGTTTATCATGTCTTGTTTTATCCTTTTACTCACTCACTGATTCTATATCAAGAATGAAAGCACCTATATACGAGGTCCAAGCATGTTTGTTCACAGCTATGGAGAGCCAACTCCATTATGCTAGGATCATAGGCATGAGGTAGGGCCGTCAGTGGGTGGGGGTTTCAGAGCTGATTTCTGACTGGGTAAGTTCACAAATCCACACACCCCTGGAGAATAAGTCAAGGTGGTGCCCCATAGAAAGAAAAGATAGAAAGTCATGGACCTTCTGATATCCCTGGAGAGCAGGTGTCTTCTTAGCACTCCCTCCCCATGCCCCTCCCACAGAGGAAAAACTACCAGCGTGAGAAAGGGAAGGGATCCCTTCACTGACAGGATTGGGTGGGTGGCGATCCATGCCACCTGGTGACTAAAGAATAACAAAAAAAGGTACCAGAGGGGGCAGCTAGGTGGTGCAATGGATAGAGCCCCAGCCTTGGAGTCACTTCACCTCGTTTGCCTCAATTTCCTCATCTGTAAAATGAGCTGCAAGAGGAAACAGAAAACCACTCCAACATCGTTGCTAAGAAAGCCCTAAAATGAGGTCAGGGAGAGTGGGGCACGCCTGACCAGCACAAAGGAAACCCATTATATTAAGAGTGACCAAAATCCTTAAAAACAGAACAGGGGCCCAGCTCCAGATCTGCGGGTGCACGTTACTGTCACTGCTGTTCCATACGGAACACGCAGAGTTACAGATCGCCCGTTCTCCAAGCACGCGGTTATCAGACATCCTATGGGACTGCAACCCGATCCCGTCATGCATCGGTGCCCACTGAAGTCAGCATGCAAATGAGGAGGTGGCGCACAGCCTCATGGATCACAGCTGCAAGGGGCCTCGATGGCCATCCAGTCCGATCCTCTCACTGTAGCTTGACCTTGGAATAGGACAGGACATGGTGGCGAGAGGAGCAAAGTGGGCGGAAAAACACGGAGCTGGCATGGAGCAGAAGATGGAGGTCTTAGATCCCCTTGTTTTACAGATGAAGAAACTGAAGCTTGGGGAGCTTGTGACGCCCTGGGGCAGGATTTGAACCCAGACCACTGAGCTGCGAGTCAGAAGCCCTGGCTTGCCTACTGACCAGTTGTGTGACCCCTCCTGGCCTCAGTTTCCCTGTGTAGCCCCCGGGTGGCCTAGAAGGAACGCTAGAGCTACCAGTCACTCTCGCGCGCTCTCTGCCCCGCCTCCTCAAGGGGGCGGGGCCTCAACAAGCCCCATTCACCCACTCGGGCCAGGGGTGGGGGTCGGAGGCGGAGCTAGGATTGACCCCGCCTCTCTAGGTAGGGCTAGCGCCCGCTGGTTGGCAGAAACAAAGGGTGAGGTGAGGAGCAGTGCGACAGAGCCGAGCCTGGCTCCGCCCCTTCTCTCCCAGTCACTCTTCCTATTCGTCGGTTCGGGGGGGGGGGGGGGGGGAAGGGGGGGAAAAACAACTTCCAAACTTATCAGGTTAGGGCACCATTTTGCTCCGCCCCTTCCCCCTCCTTCCTTGTCTCCCATTGGCTAGAGATGAAGCGGGGCCAGCCCCAGTGGGCAGTGCCGCTCTTCTATTCGTCAGATCAGATGATGCGGGGGGCGGGGCCAGCTTCGGGGCCGGCTACGCTCCGCCCCCTCCTGTCAAGGTCCGCGCTCCGGCCCCGGGGGCGGGTGTAGGCGCGCGGCAATGCGGCCCCTGCTCGGCCTGCTCCTGGTCTTCGCCGTCTGTACCTTCTCCCTGTACCTGCTGTCCACCCGGCTGCCGCGGAGCCCGAGGCCCGAGACCCGCCCCAGAGAGGAGGGGGAGGAGGCGGAAGGCCAGGAGCCAGGCCCCAGGTACCATGAGGCCTCAGGCTCGGGCTGTGGTCGGGGCGCCGGGGAGAGGGCCTGGGCCAGGGGGAAGGTCTGAGCGGGCTGGATGGGTGAAGGAGCGCGGCCTCGACCCCACTTCCGGCGGGAGGGTCTCGTCCCGCCTCCACTTCCGGTGAATCACCTCTGCCCTCCTGGTGGGTTTAGTCCCGCTTCCACTTCCGGTGGCCCTGGTTCCTTGTCCTGCCCAACGTACTCCTGTCTTTCCCCCCATTCTCAGTACACCCGCCCCCTCGCCACTCTCCTACGTCCTGATGAGTTAGAGGACCTGGGTTCAAGTCCTGCCTCTGACACTCAGTATCTTGGGCAACCATTTTACTATGGACCGGGCCATCTCTCCGCGTTCTGCCGCTAAATCCGGACTTGGTTTGGGATGAACGATTGACAAAGCATTTATTAAGCTCTTGCTGTGTGCGTGGTCCCATTCTAAGGGCTGAAGATGGGAATAACAAAGCAAGACAGCGCCTGTCCTCAAGTGGCTTACATTCTAATGGGGGAAACAAGACTTCTAGGGGATTGGGGGGGGCCAGGGAAGGGGGCTGTAGTCTGGGATGGAGCCACGGGGCAAATGGGGGCAAGTGGCACCGCCTGGCGTGGCGTGGCAGCAGTGAGCAGCGCCCAGGAGGAGGGGGTCTGCCTCCTGCCAGCCAGGAGGGGGGGGTGGGTGCCTTATCCTGGGTCACCCAGCCAGGAGATAGCCCTCGTTCTTCAGCTGCATTGCCGCTGGTCCATGAGCAGGCATCCCCAAAACGAGGCAGGATGGTCCAGTGGAAAGAGCCCTGGAGGCAGAGGACTTGGTTACAAATCCCACTTTATTTCTCACTCCCCTGTGTGAGCCTGGATGAGATGCCCAACCTCTGTGGACCCCAGTGGAGGGGGTGGAAGGCGGGACCTCTGAGGGCGTGTCTAGCCCACCGCCTCCTCCCACTGACAGCAGTTGTGTGGTGATGACAGTGGGAGGCACAAGGATTCTGAGGAGCTGGGTTTGAAATCGGGGCTCTGCTGTGACTGTGGGCCTTAATCGGGAGGGGGCTGAACTGGTAGTTTAAGGGTAGTTCTGTCCCTAATGTTCTGTGATGCCATCTTTGTCCTCCTACCTTCTCCGCCCCCAGCTGACTTCCTTCCCCCTCCGGTTCCCTCTTATGTTTTCAGGTGTTTGATGGAGCCTTCAGTTCAGGGCACCCCATTTTGTAAAGGACATTGACAAAGGAAAGTCAGGATGGCAAAGGGATTGGAAGCCCCCGTGCCACGGCTTAGGTGGTTGTGCTGGATGGAGAAGCTTAGGAGAGGAGGAGACCTTGGAATATCTTGGAATAGTAGCTTGGAGTAGCTGCATTAAGTACATAGTACTAGGGTCATAATGAGAACAATGACTAGCATTTATATAGCACTTACTGTATGCCCAGTACTGTGCCAGGGCTTCACAGATTGTGAGCTCATTGCATATCTCATCTGATCCTCACAACAACCCTGGGAAGGAGGTGCTGTTATTCTCATTTTATAGTTGAGAAAGCCGAGGGTCACCCAGCTAGGAAGGGTCTGAGGCAGGCTTTGATCCCAGGTCTTCATGACTCCCAAGTCCAGTGCCTTACCCATTATCCAAAAAACCCCAACTCTCCCCTTCCCCCCACAACCCAACGCCCGATATTCCCAGGGAGTCTCTCTTCTAAATCCTAACCAGCTCTGATCCTGCCTAGCTTCAAAGGGGCAGGGGGCAAAAGGGCAGTATGGCCATAGACATGATTCTGAAGGAATTCATAATAATAATTGTCATAGTGGGCAATTAGATTGTGAAATAAGGCTTATAAAGTGCTTTAGATACAGTATCTCATCTAATCCTCACAGTGGCTCTCCCCATAAAGGATGACATATAAGTGGTCCTTAACCTGAGGCCAAGAACTTGTTGTTTTGTTTTTTTTTAAATCTCCTTATAACTATTTTCCTTTGTGATCCTCTGTATTTTATTTTATGCATTTAAAACCATTCTTCTGAGAACGACTCTAGGCTTTACTAGACTGCCAAAGGGGTCCACCACTCCCCCGAAGTCACGAAGGGCCAATGTTAAGTTTTCCCTTGGATACTTCCTGGCTGTTTGGCCCCAGAGGGAGTCCCTTAGCCTCTCAGTGCTAGATACAGGTCAAGCTCTCCCGTCTCTCACATAGGGAGCCACATCACCCCAGAATAAAACAAGGACAAGTCTATTGTTATTCTTTTGAGTTTCATCCCCTTACACACTTCATACCATGCCCAAAAGACTTTGGAAGGAGGCAGGAAGCTTTCGGTGCGAAGGAAGGATTTTGCTGAGATTAGATAGTGGGTCCAAAACTTGCCCTGGCAGATGCGTCAGTGAAGTGTTGGCCCTGGAACCCTTGCCTGGAGTCCAGAGTCTAACTTCCATTTGGCCAGCGTCGCAAGGGAAGGGTAGCCCTTGGAAGGTGTTAGCTTCAGCAGGGACGTCTCATTAAAGGTGATGGGAGTGAAGCTAGGCTTGGAGGCTTCCTGGGGCCCTGGGGGGCTGTGACTTGCCCAGGACACATACAGCCAGTATGTCAGAGGCAGGACTTGAACCCAGGTCTGTACATTGTCACCATGAAATCAAAATCATTTCGCCTGAGAAGCCCTGGCAGACTGGAAGTTGGAGAGCTGGTGCCTATCAGCTTTGGTAAAAGAGTTTCCTTCCTGGAAGGTCCTTACAAGGGAATCACAGATCTGGTCTAAAAAAAAATAACAGTAGAGCCCTCGACTGTTGGCACTAGCTTAATTTAGTCCAGCCTTCTCATTTTCCAGGTGAGTGACCTGCCCAGGTAGCACCAAGACCAGAGACAGGCCTCCTGACCCTTCCCACACTTCCTGTGTCACACACTCGCGCCCTCTCCTCGGCCCATCTTGGTTTACTTCCCGTAGAGAGCGGATGATGATAAAGCGTGTGCGGCCTCACAGGGGCCAGCGTTGTCAGGGGCGGCCGGCCTGTCCACCATCCTCCCCCCCAGTCTCCATCGCCTTTTCTCCTCATCTCCCCCAGGGTGCTCAAGTTTCCTTCAGACTTGGAAGAACTCCGGGAGCTCTCGGACTTTCTACAGAGCTATAAGGGGGAGCACCAGGCCTATGTACTGTTGCTGTTCTGCAGTGCCTACCTCTATAAACAGTGCTTCGCTATCCCGGGCTCCAGCTTCTTGGTAAACCCCCCTGCCCCTGCCTAGCCTGCCTTGCTTAATGTGGGGAGAAAAAACCCGGAGGATAGAAATGGCCTCCCACCTTTTGGCCTCAGCTTGTAGCCACAGTGGAGAGCAAAGATGTCCGGGGTCCTAGACCTTGTCTCCTGCCGAGATAACCCGTGGGTCCCAGAGAGAAAGCCTCCCTCCAGGCTTCCGCAGTCAGCCAGTGGAGTACGTTTTCAGAAACGACCCTGCTATGACGTGGAAGCCGTCCCATTTTCTGGGAGTCCATGTTTGGCTCCTGTTCTCCTCTGTGGCCTCCATGGTGTGGAGACTTCCCCAGGAAGCCTAGGAAGGCTGCAGGTCCAGGCGGGGCCGGCCGGGCTTGCCCCCCCACTTTGTGCTGTAGTCTGGCTGATGCTGGAGAGGTGCAGACTTTGCTGGTTTGTTGTCCAAGGAATCCGGGATGGTTGTGAGAGCTGGAAGTGACTGAGAGTTCATTTAGTCCAAACCCTTTCTTTCGCAGATGATGAAACTGAGGCCCAGAGAAGGCAAATGACCCTCCTAAGGTCTCACCGCTAGCCTGGGATAGGGCTGGGATGTGCAGCCGGGCTCACTGACTTGCTGTCCTACCCTGCACTGCCCTTCGCCTTTTTTCTGCAGAACATTTTGGCCGGAGCCTTATTTGGACCATGGCTAGGCCTCATCCTGTGCTGTGTGCTGGCCTCAGTGGGCGCCACCTGCTGCTACCTGCTCTCCAGTGCTTTTGGAAAACAGTTGGTGATCTCCTATTTCCCCGATAAGGTGGCCATGCTGCAAAAAAAGGTAAGGAGGTCAATACCTAGGGTGCCTTGGCATCATTCTTGGGGCCACCGGATGTTCAGGGTGGAAAAGCAGGACCCGTGAGGCTTCCCAGCTATTCTGTGCAGCCACTGAGGGAGAGGGCTGAGGGAGAGGCCCCTCTGTGGCCTCTGGATGAGAGCCAGTGCTTGTTCTGGGGACTCCAGGAGGCCCTGCCGGCCATCACACCGCTGTCCAGCCTCACACAGGAGGCCCGTGGGCTTCCCCTAAGCTGGTGGGCCATTCCCACGTTACGAGTCACTCCCTCTGGACCCAAACCTGTGCGGGCCATCAGCTGGGCCAGGTAGCATCAGTCCTTCAGATATGTGCCAGCCGGCCTCGCGGAGATGCACGAGTGGGAGGCCAGGGCAGGCTTCTAGCCCACGCTGGATTTGAACAGTTTTGCTTTATTTCACACTCAGTTAACAAACATCAGAAAAAGAGCATTTCCATGTGCAACAGAACAGAAAAGGAGGATTACACAGGAGACTGGGCCTCTGGGCCCCCTCCCGCTTACGCGGCCCTTCTTGTCCGTGTGTCTTCACGTTCATCCTCCACTGCTCTGCTGCGTGTGTTCTTTGGAATGTTTCAATGAGTATCTTTCCTTTCTTTTGGTAACGTCATTACTGACCCCACCCCCACCCCCACCCCCGCCTTCCCCTGCTCCTGTCCCACCCCCATCTGAGTGTGGTGTGTCCTGCATCCCGGGTCCACCTCCCTCCTGTCCGGCCTCCTTGGGCCTCTGCAGGCCTTCTCGGGGCTTTCAGAATGATTTTCTTTACACTGAGCTGCACTGGAATTTGCTGGTGATGAGGGCCCTGATTGGCCGAGGCCTGGAGCTTTAGAGCTGGGCCAGCTCCCCGTGGGCCTTCCTTCATTCTCCTGGTCAGGAAGCAGAAGCCACAGAGGCTGGGTGACTTGCTGGAGATCACACAGGTAGACGGAGGCAGAGCTGGAATTTGAACCCAGGCCTCAGACTCCAAGCCTGTCAGTCATCAGCGTGCAAGTGTGAAGGGCCTACCCCTGCTAGTGCCTGGCACGGGGATCCTTGTGACCACCCAGGAATGCGCGCGGACCCTTTATCGGCCCACGTGGCTCTTGCTCCGTGGTCCTCGTCCCGTTTGTCCCCAGCCCTGGGGGCTGTGAGCAACCTGTCCAGGCGCCCACTCACGCTCACTCGCGCTCGCTCCGTCTGCTCCGTCTGCAGGTAGAAGACAACAGGAGCAGCCTGTTCTTCTTCCTGCTCTTCCTCAGACTCTTCCCCATGACGCCCAACTGGTTCTTGAACTTCTCGTCCCCGGTTCTGAACGTCCCCATCATTCAGTTCTTCTTCTCGGTCCTCATAGGTGAGCGCCTTTGCTGGGTGAGCGGCTTTGTTGGGTGAGCGCCTTGTGTGCCAAGCCTGGCGCTGGGGACTGCAGGGGCTGCAAAGGCGGGAGGGACCCGGCTGTGGCCTGGGCACCCCGAGCCTCAGCAGGAGGGGCAGCCGCGGGGGCCTGTGCCGGGACAGTGGGGAGGCCGTTCCCGCGCAGGGTAGGTGGACGTGGGAATGGAGGATGCAGGGGCCTTGGCTCTCGGGCCTGAGGAGTGGCAGGATCGAGCGGGATGGGGAGACGCCCTGTGCCCGGCCGGTCCAGTGGCACAGAACAGGTCTGGGAAGCCGGCCTGGGTCGCCTTGAGGGAGGGCCAGACATTTCCAAGCTAGCTAGGTTTTTTGAAAGGTCTCTAAAACCTGGGCTTATCAAGACAATATGGTCATAGGAGAAGCAGGTGTTTTGATGGTGAAAATTAACAGGTAGCTGGGGTATCCCTGGGCAGATGCCCAGAAGCGGTAGATGGCATGCAGAAAAGAACAGCTGGATGCTGAATTTGGCTGCAGCGGGGGAGTGAGGACGACGGAAAAGACCCACGTGGGCAGGTCCTGAGGCCAGTGTGTGCCTGGCAGAGGAGGCAGTTTTATGCTCTTGGCATGACGGGGACCCGCTCGAAGTTCTTAGAGCGGTGAGTGATGGGCAAAGCAAGAAAGACAGACAGAAAATGTGAAGTAAGAGAAAGGAAAAGAGAGACCCGCCCTGGCTCCGCCCTCCTGGGGGTCATCCCATCACCTCTCATCCCTAAAATGGGGTAACCCTTGCACTCCCTACTTCATCTGGATGTTGTTAGCCGTAAAGCGCTAGGCTGGTGGCCCAGACCCCAGGTCTGTCTCCTGCCCTCTTTGCTGGCGGGCCCCCTCTCCCTCCATCAAGACTGAAGGGGTATCTGAAGCCATGGTGTCCGCAGAGAAGGGAAGGTCACACAGCGACTGGGGTCTGAAGTGGGATTTGAACCCAGAGCTTTCTGATATCCCGTCCAGTTCTCTTCTCTCTCTACTTTGTGGCCTCTGCCAGTGCTTCTAATGAAAGCAGGTTCTTGCCAGACCCACACCCACTTGGCGGTGCCAGGCAGCCTGGATGGGTCAGGGGAAGCAGCTTTGGTCATTGGACAAGGGGGAGGGGTCGCCCAGGGCAGTGGGCAGTGGACGTGAGAACTGAAGGGAGAAGTCAGGGAAGAAGAATCATTGAACCCTGGTGAGTGTTGGAGAAGCGAAGGTGAGGAAGGAAACTGTCTCAGAGATGCATCCGAGGTTTGAGATGGGCTGGCTGGAGAGAGCTCGGAGCCCTGGGGACAGGAAGAGGAGGCCAGCAGGAGCGCAGTGGGGGGCTCTGCATTCATGTGGCGACTTGTCCGTGGGAGTCGGAGGCCTCCGGGGAGGATGCCGAGAGGAGAGAGGAGGCCGAGGAGAACAGGGCAGGGGACAGGGTGGGGGATGTGGGGGAGGGTCCCCTCCTTCCTCCTCTGCCCTTCTAGACTCGCTGGCTTCCTTCGGCTGCTCCAAGGCCTCCTTCTTCTGTGGTCTCTGTTAGAATGGAAGCTCCTTGAGGGCAGGCGCTGGTTTTGCTCTTTCTTTGATGCTCCCTTGCTTGGCCCTTGGTAAGCATTTAGTAAATGCTTGTTGGTGGAGTGTAAAAGTGAGGGGTAGGCCGGTAGCTTGTAGTTGCTTGGGATCACAGATTTAGAGCTGGAAGAGATCTTGGACACCAGAATGCCTCCCGCCCTCATTGCATGGGGTAGTTAAGTGTAGGGATTTGAGCCCAGCCCTTCTTAACTCCACGTTCTAGGGGAAGATCTCCTCCCGAATTAGACTGAACGTGTTTTTAGGCAGAGGAAAAGGGGCCCAGCAGGACCCGAGGCAGGGAGCTCTTCCCTCTGAGATCAGGACAGAATGTGGGGTCCTGTCCATGGAGATGGGGTCACGTTAACCTATGATCCTCAGGGCCTGGCTCAGCCCTGCTGGAGTCATTGCCCCGACTGGCTGAGCTCAGAGTGGCTGGAATGATTGACCTGTGACTGAGGAAGTCGAACGGGCGTCTGTCCTGTACCCCCTGGGCCTGGTCCTGGTGCCTTGGTGTGAATTGGACAGTGAGAGCAGGCCTGAGCGCCACCCTCCCACCCCCAGTGAGGGACAGTGCTGGAGGGCAGGGGGCAGACGGTGACAGGCTCCTTCTGGGGCCTCGGCTGGAACCCTGGATTGGATGTCCCCATCAGGGGGACTCTGGGAGCCCCAAGCAGGACGGCCTTCCCCTTCCCCGCTCCAAGCCCCGCCTCACCTTTCTGCCAATAACGCTGCCTTCTTGTGCACTCCGGCTGGACCTGGGCCCTCCCCCCATCTCACCTGTCAGAGGGAACCCAGAACTCCCTCTCTGCCTTGACCCATAGGCCGCTCCCCTTCCGGCAGTGGTGGTGGGTCCCTCCTGTAGCTGAGGGCAGACACCCCCTTGCATCCTGAGGACTCCTGGTCCTCACCACCTGCCCGAGAGTGGAACCCTTAGGCCTGCTCAGTAACAGCAGGCCTTCCGGCCTTTCCTTCTTCTAGGACTGATCCCCTACAACTTCATCTGCGTACAGACCGGCTCCATCCTGTCGACCGTCACCTCCCTGGACGACATCTTCTCCTGGGGGATGGTGCTGAAGCTGCTGGCTATAGCTTTGGTGGCATTAGTCCCTGGAACCCTCATCAAACAATTCAGCCGGAAGCATCTAAGTCTGGATGAATCCAGCAGCTCTCACCTGGGAAATGACAAAAAGGGGACATGATGGGCCAGGCTGGTTTGGCTAACCGGCGGGATGGGTGGGGTCCTTGCAAACCTTCCCTTATCTCTGTGTCCTCCTGGTGAAGGTCTCCTCAGCCTGGCCTGGTGCAGCAGCAGAAGCTTCTACTCTGGAGGCAGCCCTTCCTGGCCGGTGGGCAGCCCAGGCTCATTACTGCCATGACCCATCAGGGACCTACATCCTGGTTGTTTTGATTTGTTTGCTGACGTGAGAGGCAGGGTGGGGCAGTGGGAAGAACCTAGTGTTTAAGGCCAGACCATCGGGGTTCAAGGCCCGTACCTGCCACTTTGGGCCCAGCCATCCCTTCTGCTCGCTGGGCCTCGGTTTTTTTATCCGTTAAATGAGGGGGTTGGGCCAGGTCCTCTCTCAGATCACTCGTGGTCCCTCGTGGGCTTTTCTCGGCCTTTCCATACTCATCTATCCTCTGCTTGGTCAGAGCTGACTCCCCCTTGCAGCACTAGCCCAGGAGCCCCTCGATTTCACGTTTCCTTGCCCGGATGTCGTTTCTATCTGTAAAATTAGTGGGTTAGACTAGATGGTCCAAGATCTCGGGTGTGTCCTATGGCCCCTGGCATCCCGCTTCAGCCTTCTTTGGTGTCAGTCTTCCCTTGGGAAGTTTATTCTGGTCTCGTGGCTCAACTACCTTCCTGTGGACCCTGGGAACAAAGTCTGCCGGTACTCTGTGGACAAGGGTTAAGTGACGGGAGGGGGAGCTGCGTGTGAAAGGAGCTTTTCCTGATATAATACCAAGACCCTGGGCCAGGCCAGGAGAGGTAAGGGGAGGGCCTGGTGCCTGAGCCTGCCCGTCTGTGGCCGCGTGCCCTAGAACCCGGATGCCCAGTCCTCCCCAGCTGTTTCTGCCTCTGGACCCCCGCCCTCTCTTGTCCCTCCCTCCTCAGTCACTCTCTCTCTCGATATGCTGGAGATAATCAGAGCAAACTGGTGGTACATTCACTTTTATTGTTTGTCATTAATGATTTGGGGAATGATTGTATTTTTTAATTCAGCAAAACAGACTCTTTATGTTTTACTGTTGTTTTGGTTTAATGTGTTTGTTAGATGCAGTGTTTGATAGCACAGGCTGATACTTTTTCTTGGTGCCTACCCTAGGCAGCTGCGATGCTGCAGGGAAGGGAGTCCCTAGTGGCATTGCTCAGGAAATTTGGCCCTTGGGGCCCAGTGGCCTCTCGCGCCCGCGTTGGGCTTGGCCACATGCTCGGATGTTGGCTAGAATTGTTCACTTGGGCTGTGCGTGAGGCCCAAGGAATGTTCGTGTCTAGGGGCAGTGGACTTGGGGGGTTGGTGTGACCCTCTGTGCCCAGGACGTGCTCTGTATGTGTTTTCTGTTTACTTCTCTTGTTTCCTACAATGGATTGTAAGCTCCTGGAGGGCAGGGGCTGTTTTGTTCTTATACCCCAGCACAGTGCCTGGGCCCTGGCTGGCATTCAGTAAACGCTTGCTGCCTTGTTTTTAGTGGAACTGTGCCTGGGGCCTGACAACCAGCGGAGGGGCAGAGCTCCCGAGGCCAGATTGCTGCTTCTGTTGTGGGGGGGACGTGGGGGCCAGCAAAGCTCAGCCGTGTGTCCATGGATTTGACATTCCTCCTGCGGTTCAGTGTCCTGCTAGGAGAACCTTCATGCACAAAACAGCTTTTTAAATAAATACAAAATGGGTTTTTTCCTGGTGTTTGTTCACAAACATTGCTGACTCTTAGCCACAATAATGGCTTATGTTTACGTGGAATTTGAAGGTTTGCAAACCATTTTTCAAACATTTCATTTGAGCCTCACAAAAACCTTGTTTAGTAGGCACTATTGTCACCATTTTACAGATGATGAAACTGAGCCTCAGAGAGGATTATATTTAGTATCTGAGGAGAAATTTGAACCCAGGTCTTCAAGACTCCAGCCTAGCTCTCTCTCTACCACCTCATACCGCCTTTCAGTTATTCTTCCTAATGGGAATCTGGTAGTGTTGCTAAAGGATAGACTGGAAAAAGGCATTTTTGCCCCTTATCTTGGTGAGCCCTTGCTGTATGAAGCCGAGTAGACTTTGAGTTTTGCCTACGAATTGTCTGGTACAGACAAAAGAAGACTGGATTTGGAGTCAGTGGCTTTGCCACTGACCCCGCGTGGCCTTTGGCCAGCGCCCAGCTCTGTGGGCCTCAGTGTCCTTGTCTGTGAAAGCAGGAGCTTGGGCCAGCTGGCCTCTAACAGTTCAGTGGCAGGAGGACAGAAGAGGGAGGAGAAACCTGCCCTGCGGATTGACCGCCCGAAGTGGCTCCTGTGGTCAGTGGGCCCGGCAGACAACAGCCTCCATCCAAAAAGAACCACATTTTTCCCAAGGCTTTTCTGAATGTCCACACTGGCACCGTGACGGCACTTCCAGGTTGGCCCAGGGGCCGTCATCAGCCCCAGGTCAGCAGTGACGAGGCCGAGGCAGGCAGAGGTCCAGGGCCTACTCAGCTAGGAAGTGTCTGTGGCAGGATTTGAACCCAAACCCGGACCTCCCGAGGAAAAGACAAGACCAGAGAGCGGCTCCGTACACTTGTTTTATTCCATGCATTCGTTTGCTCTGATAGTCATTCTGGTGCCCATTGCTGTACATCGTTCAATACAAAAAGTGAGGATGGCATCAGGAAACCACCCCAGGGATCAGAAGAGCAGGTGTGAGTGAGACCCCAAACGAGGCAGACGGGGAGGTAAATAGGGGACCAGAAGGGAAAGGAGCATAATTATTGCTCCAAGGGGTCACAGTGGGGCAGCTTAAACAATAGGAAAGGGCTTGGGAATGTGGTCTGATCCCTGGCTGGGTTCCCCTGAAATGAACACACACCTCCCCTGGGCCTTGTGGGGGAGAGGATCCTGGCCGCCGTGCCAGGGGGTGGCCAGTGTTCCCCAGCCCCGGGCTGCCCCAGGGGCCTAGGCTGACACTGGCTGAAGGGCCTGGTTCTTAGCCCCGAGGGTGGTGCCCCCGCCCCTGGGAATGCCTGGGACACATGGCTCTTGGGAGCCGGGAAGTGGCCTGTTCCACAGAGAGCATGAATCTTTTCCTCCTGCGTCTGGAAGCTGCCTCTGATACTGTGCACACCGGGATTATTCTTGGGAGACCTTTGCTGCTTACATGGGGCGTGGGGGGGGGGTGGGCTGTCGGGGCAGCGTCCAGCAAGAGCACACAAACAAGTAGAGTGGTCAGAGCATTGGCACCTGGCTGCGCTGCCTAGGGTTGTATGTTTAACAGGGGGCAACCAACCAATAGCCTTTTAGCTGGAAGGCTAGAATCCTACCCACAATACAAATTATAAAATGTCTCTGGTGGTTGTACCTCCCTGTAATTAGTGGAGGGCCTAGTGATTTTGCAACATTTTCACGTTAACTTAATTAATATCTTCCTTTTTTTTTTTTTGAGGCAATTTGAGTTAAGTGACTTGCCCAGGGTCACACAACTAGTAAGCATCTGGGGTTGAATTTGAACTCTGGTCCTTCTGACTCCGGGGTTAGTGATCTACCCACTACAGCACCACCTAGTTGCCCCAATCCATACCTTTCTCAATAGAATGAGAGCCTGAAGCCAAGGTTGGCTTTTGCTTTTTGTTGTCTCCCCAGTGCTTAGCACGGTGTCTGGCACACAGTAGGTGCTTAATAAACACTTGTTGTCTGACCAATTGCAGAACTCATGGAGAAGGGTGTGCAGATGCAGAGCTGATCCCGGGTGACAGCCCAGCTGTCTGCAGGTGCCCCGGCTATACACGTGGGGACGATAAGGATGGACGATATGGCCCAGGCCAACCCAGGAACTCAAGAACTCAGGCTTTCCTCAGGAGAGCTCAGAAAATTAATGAGAAGACCAAGGACAGGACGGTGAAAAAAGTCTAGGGAATGGTATCGCCCTTAACCCTGTTCTGCCCAGGGTCCCTCAGGACTTAAGACTAAATTCTAGATGTCTAAAGAGGCACCGAGTGCCGGCCCCTCCAGGGAGATGACATCGGAAAGGGGGTAGCCCGTGACCTGGAGGATCCAAGCCAAAAGCCGATCCCTTGGGTCAGTTTGGGATTCAGCTGGGCCCTGGAAGAGAACAGAGGCTAAGCTGAGAGGGGGAGGACTGACCCTGAAAAGAAAATTGCTTTTAAAAATTAAATCTGAAAACGGGGAAATTTGGTGCCTATGTTGCCGGTGACAATTTGCTTGTTTTTATTTGTCGTAGGGAAGGGTTCAACCTGGACCCGCCCCTCCCATGATATAAAGGCGAGGCTCCAAACGTATTAGATAAAATTGAGACCTTCGTGCCGAGCCGGGCCAGAGTCCCGAGCTCCCTTCCATCAGAGACATTCTACCAGTCTTTAAGATGGGGGCCCCAGACAATTGGCCGGGTCCTATGCAGCCTCATCACAGTTTTAGGGTAGGGGGGGAAATAATGGGGGGGGGGGGGGAGCGCTGGGAGATGACGGAGCCAAGACCCCCCTCTCCCTTAAGAAGCTCTGCCGGGCGCGGTGTCCTGATAGCAGCCCTCACACGCAGCCAGGGAGGCTGGGGGCTGCGGCTGCAGGTCTCTTCTGACCACCCTCCCTCGCCCGCTATTAGCAAAGATACGAGTCCGTGGGTATCTGGGGTTGGGAGGGAGGAGGAGTTTTATTCCATCTCTTATTTCCCTGCGACACGGGGTGCTACGATCTCGAACGAGGCTCTGACCCGGACTTTCTGGGTCCCCTGGGCTTGGCGGGGCAGTTCTCCCCCAGCTTCCTGCTGCAGCCTGGGCTTTCTCCGTAGGACTTATCGGCCATCACTCGTCCATTCGCCCGATCAGGCCCGATCAGCGCACACCCAGCGAAGGCCCGCTGTGCTGCGGTCTCCGGGGCTAGGCCCCGCGGCCGAGGCGGCAGCAGCAGCCGGTGATTGTTGCTCTAAGTATCTGCCCAGCCACACTCACAAGGACCAATCAGGGACCGCGTCCACGTAGCTTTTCTTTTGTTCCTTTATAAAATCACACAGTTCACTGTCAGCAATAAATACGCAATCATTTGTGTTCCACTGTAAACCAGACCTTCTGATCGACAGAAAAATGATCGTGACAACAACGATGATAAAATAATAAAATAATAACAATAAAAATGCCATAACTTAAGACTTTTCATGTAGTCCAGCTACAGAAATTTTATAAAATGGAATAATTTAGCTCGCACAATACTGCTCTATGGAGGAAACCCGCTGTTCCTTGATCCTAGCTAAGGGCTATCAATCATAGCCACAAAATTTAAATCAATGTCTCAACATTACGTGTAAACAAACAGATGTATCCAGTGAGTCGAGGAAACTGGCCCCACGGTGCAGCCAGCAAGACCCACAGGAGGGATGCGTGTGCACGTGTGTATTTTGTATGTGTGTATAGTGTGTGGGGGGCGGGTGGGGGGGGAGGGAATGACACTGCTTTGATCTGGAACCATTTTTATGCCTCGACCTACACTGGGAGGGGGCGCCCCGAATCCACCGCGATTTGCTGGGCCGGGGGCGGGGCAGGGGGAGGGGGGAAGAGAGAGAGAAGGAGGGAGGCAGAGAGAGCTCGACATAAAAGCATAGCAGGGGCCAGGGGATGGGACCCAGGTTAACACTAGCCTGCCCTGAAGTTCCTTCCCTTTTCTTTTTTGGCCAAAGCACTAGCAAGCCCCCCTGGAAAGGATTCCTGAGCCCTCGGCCTGGAAGTGGGTGGTCTGCCCCAGGACAGGCCCTGAGTAGTACACAGGGTTTACTTCAGGGACCCTTCTAGGTCCCAGAGGTAAACAACACGTGAAGGTTCTCTGACCAAGGATATTACACTTACTATCACATTCTGTTTCAGGGTTTGGGGTGGAGGGTAAAATGGGGAATCTTCCTTCCCATGTCGTCTGGCTCTTGTAGAGTAACACCTGACCTGGTGGGTACCCGAGGCTCTCTAAATAGTAAAGGATTAATAAATACAAACTAAAGGGATGGGGTTTGAACCACTATTGGAAAGCTGATGCTGGCCCTGTTAAGCTCAGCCCCAGATGCCCTCGATCCTTCTCTAGGCAAAGTGGACAGGAGGTGGAGAAGACACAGGCAAGCTGCAATCAGATGCCCCAGGGCTCCCTGACCTGTGCAGGAGGCCAGCGTGCCTGTCCAGGTCACACAGGGGCTGGCCCTAGAAGAACCTGGAGAAGCCCAGGAGCTCACAGGAGAAACGCTGCTTCAAAAATCAAAGAAATAAAACCAGCCTCCGTTCACTCCAAGGGAGCATCTTAGCCTCCAGCCCTTGGCATCCAGAGTCCTGAGCCCCTCTTCCAGCTGGGAGCTCTGCTTGCAAATTACATGATATTGCTGGGATTTTTTTTTCTGTTCCCTGTTTGTTTCAATGGGTGTTTGCTCTGCCTTTTCCATCATTGCTAGGGCCCAAAGGCCTGGTCCCCTATTCAATCAGCAGCACTAATTCCTGGCCCCATAAACTCGAGGGACGTTGCTCTATTTCCTTCTTAATTTTTTTTGCAACAAATTATTGTCTCTCTCTATATATGTATATAGAATATATACATATACCATATATAGTTCACTCTTTACAGTACAAAGTGTTAAAATGTCAAACAAAAATAAATATTCATGTTACAGTAGCTAGAAGAGTCAATAAAAGAGATCCCTGCCATTCTTGATTGAAATGCTCAGTGAGAATTCACTTCATTTGGACACCATTTTCCCCTCAAGAGATGCGTGATGTGAAGTCTTGTGTCCTTGTTATTGCAGATCACTTTGGGGCAGCCCAGGGAGCCTGGGGGCGGGCAGCCAGTGGCCTGCCCTGGCCAGCCAGCTGGCATTACCAAGTGGCCGAGCTGTAGTGCTTGTTGGCACGGACCGTAGCATCCGAGCACTCCCCGTCTGACGAGTCGCAGTCGGATTCCCCCAGCGGCCCAGGATTCTGCGGAGCCAAGGAACAGAAAGAGAGTTCAGTCTCTGGGAGGGGGATCCCTCATCCCGAGGAGGCTGGGCAGGCTCCCCACCGCCTTCCCACCCACCAGCCAGCCTGCCCTACCCGCTCCACTGCAAGCTGGCAGGTGAGAAAGGTGAGGAAGGCACCCACGCCCAATGGCACCCACCTCGTAGCCATGCTCCTCGGCACAAAGCTTGCCCAGGGACATCCGAGTCTTCACCCTGCGGACGGCACACTCCTTGTCCGAAAGCCCGTCGGACTGGGTGGAGATCTCGATGGGGATCTCCGGGGTCTGGGACAGCAGGTCCTCCAGCTTTTCGGCCACTCGGTCTTCCAGCCGGTGGCCCACCTCATCGGGGCTGTTGGAGTGGTCGCTGGTGTTCCCCTCCTCGCCGTCGGACACGGAGAAATTTTCTGAGCTGAAGGTCGAGTAGGACTGGCAGCTGCTGATACAGCGATGGGGCCTGAAAGCCAGGAGTCCGGTCAGTGTTGCTGCCCGAGCCCCCGGGCCTTTCCCTTCCCTCAGTCACAGACCCCCCCCAGAACTTTAGCTCCAGAAGGGGCCATGATGTGTTCAAATCCTGGCTCGCTGTTGGGCCAGCTATGGGGAGGTCACTCCCCCTTTCCAAGCCTCAGCTTTCTCTTCTGTACAATGGGCAATGATATTTCCACTCCCTAACTCACCATCATGTGGTGACCAAAGCTCTGTAAGAATGGCCTGACCCAAGTAACAGTCATTTGAGAGAGAAGTGAATCAGCAGGGCCAGGCCTGGGACGCTGGTTCCTAGATGCCAGGCTGGGCTTTTCTACCCGCTCCCTCCTGACACCATTCACTTTGTAGGGTGTGCTGCCACAGGGGACAGCAGCTGTTTTTTTGTTATGGAAGGAGGAAATGGAATCACCCTGAGCCAGTCCCTGACCAGCGGACGATCAGTAAATAACACTGGAATTGGAGTCTGAGGACCTACCCACCATTAACGACTCACGTGGTTTTGGGAAAGTCTCTGCCCTCTCTGGGCCTCAGTTTCCTCCCCTGCAAAATGTGGGAGTCGGCCTACATGCTCTCCAAGGTCCTTCCAGCTCTGATTTGTGGACTGTAGGTCCCCGTGGGAAGAGGTGTATGTAATTAGGTTCAGCAGAGGAAGTGAGTTTGGCCCTGATGGGGCAGCAGCTCCAGGAGACTTCACAGAAAATGCCCAGCTCCCCAAACCACAGCTGGCTGCCCTTCCCTCCATCCGTCCCCACACTAACCCATCCCCTCTGGAGACTGTCCTTCCAATCCAAGCCAGTGTGGTCCAAGGGGCCCTTATCAAAGGCCTGGTGGGGGCACCCTGCTGTGCATGGGCCAGGATCACGGACAAAAAAATGGAAACCAAGCTCCACCTTCTAGAAAGTGACTTCTCCTGGGAGGGGAATACAGTGTGTGTGTAGAGACAAGGATGTTCCTGAGAACAGGAGGAGGGAGCACTCGCTCACAGCCAAGGGAAGGCTGCCCAGAGGAGCCTCGGCTTGAGTGGAGCCTGGAAGGATTCTAAGGGGCAGCTGTGCGGGGCGCGGGAGGCGGCCAGCAAGGGCTCAGCTCCTTTTCAGCATAAGGAGGCAAGTGGCTATTTCTAAGACTAGTCCGAATGAGCACAGGACAGAAAGTCATTTTATCTACTAATACTTTTTTTTAGGATTTAATAACCAAAAAATGAATTTTAAAAATTGTCTTTACATGCAATTAGAAAGATAAAATACTATTAAAAAATAACCGGGGTATAGAAGATTACCACAGAGCTGAAGGAGTCATTGAATCTATCTAAGGGACATCATGGAACCAGAGAATCCAAGACTAGAGAGTTGGGAAGGACCTTGGCAGAATCACTGAGCTCACCCTTCAGCCCTGGACCAGAGTCTGTTCTGCAATATTCTCGACAAGTCCTCCGTCCCTTGGTGGGCATACTTCGAGGGCCAGGGAGCTCGCTTTCTCTGGTCCAGTTTCTGGACAGGTCTGATCATTAGAAAGCTCTGCCTAGAACTGAGTCTCCTAGAAGCGGCCTCCTTCTCCCCACCCGCCCACCAGGCCTGGCTCTGCTCTCTGCTGCCAAATGGACCAGCCCAGTCCTACGCAGCAGCTTGTCCAGGGAGTCTTTGTTCCCTGCAGCTAAACCCTGCCAGCTTGTCTAAAAATCCCTCCCTTGCTGTGGCGTCCAGACTTTCTCAGTCACCCTCCTCTGCACAGATTTTGGAGGGGCCACGTCCAGGAATCCTTGAAGAGTGACCTCTTGGGCCAAGACGTCTAAGGGTGACCTGAGATCTCCGGGTCTGCAGAAGGTAAGACCTTCTTTGCTGATTGCTGGAGGCCTCGGGCCATCTCTTCTGTGTTGGAGGCCGCCTTCAAAAGGCCACAGAGAGACAGCACATGCTCACAGCGGGGTTGGCCAAGGCTAGTACATAGTGAGGAAAAAGACCCTTGGGTTGAGGGGGAGGCCAAAGTACATGACACCTGAGATCCTGGCCCAACTCTCCATTCTGGTACCACAGGGTTTCACCAATGAATTCAATAATACCTCAGGTCATTTTTTATACCTTGGTTACTGAGGCTATAAGAAAAGTACCAGCAGAATAGAAGCCTCTTGAGGGCAGGGATGGTTCTATTTTTATGTCTGTACCTCAGTACCTGCCACATAGTGGGAGCTTAATAAATGTTGTCATACATTTGTTACAGGGAAAGGGGACGGTGGCGAAGCTTGAGCTGCCCCCCTTGGGCCACCTCGGAAGGGGCTGAACATGCAGTGTTTTACCTCTGTCTTCGGGGAAACTCAACTTCGCTATCGACTTCTCCTTCTTCCTCTTCCGAAGAGTCGTCGCCACTCTGAGACAAGGACAGATGGGTTTTACTGCAGCTGTTACAAACCTTTACAGAAAAGATGTTTTCATCCTTGTCGCTGCCAGCAGCGTCAAGGATCCGGGCCGTAGGGCTGGAAGGGACCAAGAGGTCACCTGGTCCTTTTAGAAAGGAGGAAGCTGAGGGGGGACCCTGCCCCCACCAACAACCCCTCCAAGGAATTGAGCCCATGGCCTCTGACTCCCAAGCTGCGGCTTTGTCCATCCACTACACTGGGCTGTCCTAGTATCATCTTCCAGGACAGCAGAGCAGTCTCCCCACGCAGCTCTAATCCAAAAAGATCAGTCAGGCTGTCTGTCCTCCCTCGGGCTCCTGCCTTCCTTTCCACCCTCCACTACCATCCTCTAAAATAAAAGAAAAAAGAAAATTTTTGTTTGGGAAAAACACATACGACCTTGGTAAACGTCTAGGTGAAAAATACAGAAATCACCAGGGAGGTTTTACTGTGTTCATTTCATATTTCAAGTACCTAATGCCAAGTTTATCTCTTCATTCAATGCTATGGGCAGCCGGCAAAGAGTTGGCCCCACCCAAGTGAGCAGAAACTCCGAGGGCTCACAGAGGGTCCCTCTCTCTCAAGGCCCGGATTTCAGTATGGACACAGAGAGAGACACCCACTCACCCATAACACACACATACAAGCACATGTCTGATTATCCTTTGGGGGCGCCCTGGTGACAAGCTATGGTTAGGAGGTGGTGGAGGACCAGAGAGAATTGGTACCCAGGTAACCACGGAATCGAGGGCCTGGAGGACGCCCCTGTAAACTGAGGCAGGGGGATCCCATCATGTCTGAGGCTCCTCCAGCTCTAAGCCCTGGATGGACCTCGTGTATTATTTAGCCGACCCCCTCATTTTCAGGGGAGGAGTGAGGTCCCAGGCTGCTCAGTGGCAGAGCTGTGACTCCAACCAGGTTTCCTACCTCTCTGCAGGGGGCCCCAGAGGAGACCCCTGGTGCCAATGAACCCGGGCAGAGGGAGCCTCGGTGTCAATCAGCCACTTAATTGGTAGAGAAGGCTTCTGTTTCTAATGACAACTAGGTGACCCCAGCAGGCACTGTGCAGAGACCCCGTCCCAGGCCTTACCTTCTGAAGGGGTCTCGTTTTTCGAGGTAGCATCGGAGGGGTCATGTGCTGCGGGGGGCTGAAGGAGGACACAGGCTGGCAGCCCTGGAATTCTTGAGCTTCCCTCTTGTCAGGACCCTGCCCAGCTTCACAGAGGCCACCGTGGGCCGGGGCCACGGGCCGATGGAGGCCGGAGCTCTGGGTCTCTGGCTCTGAAGATGCTTCGCGTGGCCGGCTGGGCTCCAGCTGACACTGGAGGCAGGGGTCATAGGGGTCTGCCTGACAACAGGCCCACGGGCCGGCCAGGCCCCCCGGGGGCGCTGAGCCCTTCCAACAGTCCGCTGCCATGGCTGTGGAGATGAGGTCAGGGCTGGAGCCGGACACCTGTCTTTGAGCGTGGTTACTGAGCGGGCTGCGCAGGGCTGCCGCAGGCCCAAAGTACCTCAGGTTATTAGCACAGTTGGCAATGTCCTGTCCATGCAGGTTGAGCCTGGGGTGGTGGTCGTGGGCCGAGGGCTTCGAGGGCTGGGGGTACTGCTGTTGCTGGGCGCTGTGATGATGGGGAGGATGGAGAGGGGCAGGAGGCGGGCAGGGTGGTGTGCCCTGGGGGGAGGCCTCCTGGGCTGGTTGGTTTTTCAAGATGGCCACAAAGTCACTATGGCTCCCTTTGCTGTTGGCCCGGCGGTGGCGGGGCTTGCTGCGGTATCGGCCTTTGCTGCCCGGAGTTGATATTTTGGGGCTCCCGGACACCGGGGATGCCTGGGGAGCCACCTCCATGGTGGGGATGCCTTCGGAGCGCAGGAGATCTGGCCTGGGAGAGAGGACAGATGTTACCCTGAAGAGGCCAGACTCAAGCCAAGGGATGGTAATCTACACTGGACACCAAAGAGCGATGGTGGGATGACCCTGGACATATGGCCTTGTCCCTAACGACATGCAGAGATGCCGTCCGGCCTTGGAGCCGGCCAGGCCTGGGGTCACTGGCCAGGCCTGGGGTCACCCTGCCAGGCATAGAGCCCCCTTAGGGCCCCAGGCAGTGACTCTGAGGCTCAGACTTGCAGATGCCAGGAGAGGCCACAGGCCTGCAGGAGAATCCTGCCCTAACAGCCCTGGGCCCGCGGGGATTCCTAGCCCAGATTTTGCTGCTGGCTTCTCTACCCAGGAGGTCAAGGGGTCGTCAGCCCAGACTTACAGGGCATTCCTCATTGCAGTCTCACAACCACACGTTGGGGGATTGTTATCCCCATTTTACAGATGAGGAAATTGAGGCTCAGAAAGTGAAGCCCAATGCCATACAACTCCTAAGCCACGGAGGCAGAATTCAAACTCGGGGCTTCCTGGCTCCAGGACCCTACAGAGCTGGCTGGTGCGCCGTAATCAGCCAATTGTCAGTTTGATTGTTAATTAAACAATCAGGAAATATTACAGACCATGGGAGAGGTGCCAGAGGGCTGGAGACAGGCAAAGTTGTCTTAATTTTTTTAAAAGGAGAATCAGATTTGCATTTTCTTTGTAGCTCAGGCCTGGTGGCAGTAAGGGATTAATATATGCTGACTGATTGATGTATCCAGCCCAGGCCACCCTAGAACAGGAATTCCCTCCACAACATCCCTGAGAAGCAGCCAGGGGCTCAGGACCCACAGACAGAGAGGTGCAGGGGACAGAACAGGCTTTGAATCCTGCCATGTGACATTGGGCTAGTCACCTAACTCCCTCTGGCTCTGTTTCCTTATTGTACTATGAGGAAGGCAGACTAGACGAGACTGGATGAGCTCCCTAAGGTCCCTACTACCTTTGGAGCTTAAGACCAAACATGACCTCGGACCCGAGGCAGAGGCGGCTCACCGCTTTGTCGTCAGGCCCGGCTTATGAGACACTCCTTTCCTCTTCATCAGCTTCTCCACGGTGTTGGGATGGATGATGGGTCTCACGGGGTGCCGCTTGTAGGTTCCAGGGTACTTCTTTTCCACAGCTTGCTCACGCCTGTGAAAGAAGATGAAAAGCCACGTTTCAAACAGGCAGAAGCAGGGGACGGAGAGAAATCGCTCTTCATTTCTTTATCCATTTATTCTTTCATTCATTTATTTATTTTTTTGGCAGGGTCTGGCTGGAGCTATCAGAGGCAGAGTGCTCTTAATAGGCTTGGAAAACTACATGCCTATGCAGGTAATCCAGTATGAGAAGGGACACAAATTATCCCAAAGTTATTCAACTGAATCCTGCATTTCAGTCCCTATTTACATTGAGGACTCAATTCTATTTCCCCCAAAGCAAAAGAAACCCTCAGGTCACCCTCCAGAGAGGAAAAGATCTGTCAGGATGATGGAGAGGCTCATGGCGTGGGGCAAAGAGGCCATGACAGGTTCCCAACAAGGATCTGAGTCCAAGACGCCCTCATGGGCACAGGCATGGGCCAGCTGGTGCCAGCCAGCACAAATGCCACCTTGGTGTCCAGGACACGTTGAAAGCCCCCGAGGGAGGCCGAGAATGGCGGCTGGATCCTCCCTAATCATTTCCTGTGTTGTTGAGGCCCTTTTGCTTATATTTCATTCAACATCCAGTATCGTCCACGGAGTGCTGATGGAGCCTTGTGGAGGCAAGGCTAGGCTTTGAGGTCAGGAGCTGTTCCTGCCCCTGGGGCTGCCTGTCCTGGGCCCACAAAAGGTGGCCGAGCAGGGGGAGCGGGGCAGGGGTTGGGGCGGGGTGGAAACAGGCCAGCTGCCTACTTGATGAGCTCCTTCTCCCGGACCTCCAGCTGCAGCATGATGGCGCTCAGCTCCATGTACAGGTTATTAGCGCGTTCCAGTTTCCGCTCATAATGCTCCCGGATATCCAGCGCGTGCCTAGTAAAAAAAAAAACAAAAACAAAAAACATGGTTCAAGGAGACATCCACCCGCCAAACATCCTGCTTGCCTGCATCGGTTTGGTCTAGGGTCAGGGCAAGATGGGAGGGACAGCGAAGGGATGCGATGCGGTGTTTAAAAACAAAGAGCATCAATAAGACATTTTAAAAGGAAAAACATGAATGAATGAATGACCGGGCAGACGGACGAATGCCATTCTCCTGGATCCTACCCACCAGAGGGATGCTGTGCGGTAGGAACACAGGAGATGGCGGCGAGTGAAGGAGAAGGCATGGGGGTGGGACAGAGGGAAGACAGAGGGCAGCCCTGGGAGGAGACCTGAGCTCTTCTCTCCGGCGCCTGATGAGCTCTTCGTCCAGCCGGTGTATGCAAGTCCCCTCACTTTTGATCTTCTCAAAATGTTTTTTCACTTCCTCCCTCCATTCAGCCTGCAAGAAGGGAAACCAAGGCACAGTCAGAACCGTAGCTGCCCCACCAGATCATCGCAGCCCAGGGCTCCCCAGAGTTCCCAGAAGGAAGCCCCTTCAAGGCGGGAGGGGCCTTCTTCTCTAGAACAATGTCTCTGGATAGTGTGCTGTTAAGTCCCTCCAATCCCCTGGGCCCTGGGGATACAAGGACAAAACAGACAATTCCTGCCTTCCGGGAGCTTCTGTTCCACAACGGGGACATCCTAGGCATGGGGATAAGTGGAGGGACAGGACGGGAGCTGTGATTTCACTGGTAAAGGGAACCAAGGTGAGGAGGCTCCAAGAGCTGCCCAGAGCACTGACAAGTTAAGGGACCTGCCCAGGGCTGCAAGCCCAGTATATGTCCACGGTGGGACCTGAACTCAGATCTTCCTGGATCCAAGGGGAGCTCTCTCTACAGATAAGTCTATATGAGGTCATATGAAGGGAGAAGCACTAACAATTGGGGAATGGGAGATTAGGAAAGATTGCCTCTAGGAGGAGCTGAGTATGTCAGGAAGCCAGGGTAGAAGAGGTGGAAAGGGAGAGTATTCCAGGCAGGGGGCACAGCTTGTGCAAAGGCATGATGGCTTGTCCCACAGAGGAGAGGAAGGTTGTTTAAAAATGGGGGCCTGCCTTATCTACTCGAAGCAGGTTTTATCTTTACGCACATGTGACTCATGAGAAACATGTGAGGAGCTTGCTGGCCTGTGTCCGGGCAGCAAAAGGGTCAGACAACTTCAGCAGAAATGATGAGCGATGTCTGACTGGGTACCTGACCTAGGGAAGGAACGGGAGCTGACAGGCCAACCCTCAGGGAGTGAGACGTGCACCACGTGCACATTCAGTGACCAGGACTTAATTGGGGATGGCGAGGGGCTGCCATCCAGAAAAGAAAGGAGGCTCAGCTCCCGCAGCTCCGACCATCCCATTCAGTGTGACTGGACGGCCCTTTATGGAGCACCTACTGTGTGCACTCTGGCGGGCACTGGGACACCAAGACATAATGTGGACAATCCTTGCCCTCGGAGCTTACGTTCTAACAGGGGGAGATACAGGTCAGTCAAAACCAGGTGTTTGGGGAGAGAAGGAGCAGCAGCAAGTAGAAGGGATCCGCAAAGGCTTCCTGGAGGAGGAGACTCCTGAGTACGGCCTCGAAGGGCGCTCGGGATTCAGTTCAATTTGATTTAGCAAACATTTATTAGACACCAACTGTGTGCAAGCAAGTTCTGCGTGGGGGGGGAAGGACAAATCGGGAATGCCTGGAGGGAGGAGGCATGGGATGAGGGAGGGGCAAGAAGGCAGATGGGCTGGAGCGCCAGGCGGAGGAGCCCGCGTGCATCCTGCAGGTCGCTGCTGCTGGCAAGAGCTGCGTGGGGCCCGGCCAGGAGGGCACCAGGGCACAACATCTGCCCCCTCACCTGAGATTTGAAGTAGGTCTCCTGCGGCGTGGCGAGCACGTCCGCAGAGGCAATGTCCAGGTGCAGGAGCGTCTGGCGGAAGGAAGGCCGATTGCGCGGCTTGCTCTGCCTAAAGTGAAGGGAGAGACGGCTGGTGAGCTCGGCTCCGAGGCTGCATCAGGCCGGGCTGGGGGAGGGCGCTGATGCTGTTTTATGACGAGCATTTTCAACTCGGCTGGAGGCGGCCAGGTGGCACCTGGAGTCAGGAAGACCCGCGTTCAAATCCTGCCTCAGATACTTAAGAGCTGTGTAAGGTGGGGCAAGTTATTGACCTTCACCTGCCTCACTTTCCTCATCTGCAAAGTGGGGTGGTAACGGCCAGGGGTGTTGTGCTGGAGAAGATCAGCTGGATAGTGCTGAGCACGTCCGGCACATAGTAGGCACTTAATAAATGCTCGCTCATTTCCTTCCTTCCTTCTTTCCTTTCACAGGCTCCTAGGTGTAGAGGCCATCACGTCCAACCTCATTTTGCAGATGCAAAAATCGAGGTCCAGAGAGGCCGAACGTGTGCTCCGGGTCACACAGTGGGTAGTTATCTGGGTCAGAATCTGAAGCCACTCCACCCTGATGTCTCTCGACCATGCCCTTTTCTGAGAGCTGACATCTCCCGAGGACCACAGAACCTGGAGAGATCTCCCATGTGAGCCGTGCACCTCTCGTGTGCCATCCCGTCCCTATTCTGATCTCTGGATGAGAGGAGGGGCATGGAATCGGGGGGCTCAGGCTAGGGGAAGGGGGTGTACAGCATCGAAGGGAGGGTCAGCAGAACCACGGGAGCTCCCCCACCCGGCACTCAGGGAGGCTCCGGACAGGTAGACTGAGGTCTCACCAGGTCTGCTTCATGAGGATCTTGAAGCCATCGGGGCACGTGGAGGGGACAGGCAGGTGCAGGCTGTTGCTGCCCACGCCCCAGATGATGGCTGATGAGTCCACATCCTTGTACGGGATCTCTCCCGTCAGCAGCTCCCACAGCACCACCCCAAAAGACCTGAAGAGGAGGGAAACTCAGCACCATCAGATGACACACAGGGAAAATGGCTTTATCTTGGGGTGGGGACGGTGGGGTGTTCTAGTCATCACTATCATTATTGTTGGGACCAAGAAATACAAGAGCCTCAAATGCCTCTTGGCTGTGTGGCCGTGGGCAAGCTGCTTAAACTCCCTGTGCCTCAGTTTCCTCATCTGTAAAATGAGGGGGTCGGGCGTAGTGGCCGCTGAGGTTCCTAGAGCTGTGCACGCTCCTGGAGCCTGGAAATCAGGGGACTTTTGCTTTGGATGGAAGAGGCGTGTTTCAGCCCAGGGCGGGAACTCAGCTGTTAGAGCAGGCAAAGGCCCGGGCTCCCCACACATCACAGGACCCACCCAGAGGCAGAGGAGGCTTGAGAGGCCGCTGAGCCCTGCCCCCGCATTTTACAATGGAAGACACGGAGGTGGGATCTGAACCCAGGCCTGGCCAAACTCCACTCCCTGTTCTCTAGACTAGAAAAGCGTCTCCAGCATCAGGCTCAAGGTGTCCGACTTCTGACTGGTCGTCTTTAATTCCTTTAAAGCAATTGATTGTAATAAAGACTCATCGATCACCTACTGATGCCAAGGATGACAGTGACATCACAGTCCCCACTTCTATGGACTCTAAGGTGTAAAGTGCTTTGCTTGCCTCATTTGATCTGAGAGGCGGCTGCTATTATCCCCATTTGACAGATGAGGAAACTAAGGCACAGAGAGGTAAGTGACTTGCCCAGAGTCACACAGCTAATTAGGATTTGAACTCAGGACTTGCAAACTTCAAGTCCAGTGCTCTCTGCCCTGCTCCACCCAGCTGCCTACTGCAAAGCTAGGCTTGGAGGGCAACAGGAAGATGAGAGGAATGGACACAGTTTTGCCTCCAGGAGCTGGCCATCAAAGTACCATAGGCGTAGACCTTGAAGGGACCCTAGGTCCCATCTCGTTTCTCATTCTGGGGGGGAGGCTGCATAGGCCAGACCACACTAAAATACAGAAACAAGGCGTGAGAAGCACTCGGCAGGTGTGTGATCCCAGGCGACGGGGCGGAGGGAGAGTGTCGTTAGAGCCAAAGTTCCTTGGCATCAAAGACTGGCTCTGCCCTGACTCGCTGTGTGTCCTTGGGCAAGTCTCTCACCCTCTCTGGGCCTCATGCCCTTCCTGGGTAAATCAAGGAGGTCCCTTTTCAGTTCTAGAACAATTCCATTTTTAAGTGCCTACTATGTGCCAGGCATGGTGCTGAGGGGCAGAGATATGGGGACAAAAATGGAACCATCTGCCGAAAGCAGTGGACACTCTACTGAGGATACAGACCACTCACTCCAAAGCAATTCCTGAGGGCCTTCTATGTGTCAGGGACTATGTGAAGCTGCCCTCAGGGGGCTCACATTCTACTGTGGGCACAACATGGACACAAACGTGGAATCAGAAATTGGGTTCTTGTGGGTTGTTTTTGGCGCTAACTTCTGAGTGATCTGGAAAGGGATGACCTTCCTTGGGGCGGGGGGGGGGAGCACCTGCTCCTTGGAGGCAGCCACGCCTGAGTCTGTGACGTCCAACTAGGACCCAGAAGATGCCTGGGGGCAGCTGAAGCTCTCCCAGCAGACTCAGGCCCTCCCAGGCCAGGCAGGCATTAACAATCACCTTCCCTGTGGCTATCAGGGGGCCACAACCTCGCTTGTCCCCCCACGTCCTGTTGATTCCCACCGAATCCCAGGCTCTCTGAGCTGGAGCGGCCTCAAGAGCGTTCAGCAGCCCTTCTGGAAGGGGGATGGATAAGGGGCTGGCATCCGGGCACTCAGCAGCCAGCGGGGGCAGCCACTCACCAGATGTCCACCTTTTCCGAGACCGGCTCGTTTCGGATCACCTCGGGGGCCATCCACGCCACGGTGCCAGCAAATGACATTTTTGTGCTTTTATCACTGAGTTCCTTCGAGGTGCCAAAGTCAGAAATTTTGACTGCGTCTGTATGAGTGACTAATACACTAAAAAAGAGACAGACAGACAGACAGAGAGACAGAAAGTCTGCGGGGTTAGCTCCGAGGTGAAAGACAACAGCGACTTAATGCAACTCAATAGGCATGATCTGAGCACCCGCCCGGCACAGTGCACAGCACAGCAGTGGTATAGTATATAATATAGTAGAGTAGAGTATGGTATACATTCTGCTACAAACTTGGACATAAGACAAGGTCCTCTGGACCTTGTGCCTCACATTCAACTCTGGAGGGGCACGGAATACAGCCAACACAGGGGACTAGTTAGAAAGTCTATACAGAGTAAGGACAAAGGAACTGAGGGTGTTCTCAAACCTGGCGGGATTGGGCCTCCTGCAGGAGATGGTACCTGTGGGCAGCAAGCGTGAGGTAGGAGAGCATTTCAGGTATTGGACAGGGCTTGTCCCAAAAAGGAATTGAGGTAAGTTGTTTAGAAACTGGTGCATTATTGATCTGGTCAAAGTACATGCTTGGGCAAAGGCACAGAGGTGGGAAAGGATATATTATATATGTATTATATATTATGTATTATATATTATATATTATATATTATATATTATGTGGAAAATCTGAGAGCATTCCAGAGGAAGAGTCCTTTAAAATCAGCCGGGAAAGCCAGGCTGCTTCAGATCCTTGTCTCACAAAGCTGAGGGACCCGCCATCTCTAACTGCCAAACAGGAGTTTGTGTGGAACCCGGGCTGGTCTAGCCGTGCCAAGTTTGGGCAACATGTAGGTGCCTCTGAGAGGTCTTTGGGGCATGTCCAGTTTGCCCACCATGGAGGCCTCTGCATCCCCAGGCCAGCCTGAGTCACTCAGTCTTCTCCTCTTCTCCTCTTCTGCTCGGGCCAGTGAGTGAAGACCCCAGTTGATCCGTAGCATGGACACCCTGAGCTGAAGAACGTCCCTCCCTAGCTCTCTTTCATTCAGCTCTGAGAAATGAGCCTGGGGGTGTTTGTTTCTGTTTTGTGGTGTTTGTCCTTCGCAGTTTCAGGCACTGGAGGTGATTCCCAAGGACTGGAAGGTCAAGCCCCAGGGGCCTGGAGGGTGCAGCCAGCTGTACGTGGACACCCCAGAGGCCAGGATGCCATGCAGATAAGCCCACGGAGGATTTTGGACTTGGAATGCCTTCGCTCTGGGGAAGCCCTGAAATGATGGAAGTCTGGGTTTCTGTCTGGTTCTACCTTTGCAGAGTTCAGGTTACGGCTGCTGAGCTCCTGGGGATTCAAATGCCACACTTACAGCTTCCTGCACACTTGTAAGTCCACTATTAACTGCTAAGCAAAAAAATCTCATAATCTGGTTCAAATGAGGCCCATTTGCTCAGGGGGTAACACCCCTCGGAGTGCTCCCCGGGAAAGGGACCATTTACTGGCAATGAGGGAGCAGGGCTGGGGATTCTCAAGTGTGGAGACAGGACAGCACAGATGGGCATCTGACCCAGGGCAGGCACAACCTAAGCTCAGGACTGCTTTGTTCTGTGGGCATCTAAAACGTGGACAAACTGCTTTAGCCAGACGAGAAAATGGCCTTGGTCCAGTGTTGGTGAAGACAAACTATAGGATTTCAGAAGCTTTGGTGCTGGGAGGGGACGACCTGGGCCGACGGGCACCTCCGTGGTGCAGTGATGGAGAGCTCATTACGGCCACGGTGACCCCGCCCGCTTTGGGAGAGGTCTCACTATGGGCAAGGTTTTCCTGACATTAAGACTAATTGTCTACTTGCAACTTTCACCCACTCCTGCAGTTTGCCCTCAAGGCCAACATGAACAAAAGGAATCCCTCCTCCAGGTGCCAGCCCTCATAATTAATAATAAAGATAATTAGCATTGGTATAGCACTTAAGCACTTTACAAATATCGATTCCTTTTGACCTCACAACATTGGGGAAAAGATACTAAGATTTTACCTGTTTTATAGATGACCAAACTGAGGCAGACAGGGGAGCTCATTCCACTGGCCCACGGTCACCCAGCTAGTTAGTGTCTAAGGCCTAACTGGAACTCAGATCTTCCCAGCTCCAGGCTGAGAACTCTGCAGCCTCATCTATCATTACTGACTCGATTTAATAAATATTCATTAGGTACCTAGAACACATGCATGCCTAAGATGAGTCTAAGAAGAACAGGTAAGGGAAAGAGCCCTTCAGAGTGTGGGGGTCAGGGCAGGCTTCCTGGAGAAGGCAGCCCCGGGACGCAGCTTTCATGGACCGACGATGAGGATTTCAACAGGCAAATATAAGTAGGGAATGAGTTCCAAGCAAGAGGGATAACTTGTGCCAAGGCAAAGGAAGTGGGAGACAGAGTGCTGTGGGGTGTGTGTGTGTGTGTGTGTGTAAGAGTGTGTGTGAGAATGTATTGTGAGTGGGTGTGAGAAAAACTGTGAGAGTGTGAGAGTGTGCTGTGACAGTATGTGTGTAAGAGTGTGTGTAAGTGTGAGAGTGAGAAAAACTGTGTGTGAGAGTGTTGTGAATGTGAGAGTGTATGTGAATGTGTAAGTGTGTGAGAGAATGTGTGTGTGTGGGGGGTTGTGAATAGGCAGAAGTCTGAGCAGGGGAGTGACGTGATCAGAACCTGGTGTTAGACTGCTCTGGCAGCTGTTTGGGAGCACCTGGAGTGGTCCCAGGTAAGAGGTGGTCCTGACCTACACCAGGGAGAGCCTGTGTCAGCAAAAAGGCACCGACACTGACGTCTTCACAGTCACGTTCTTACAGCAGTAAGCTGTAGGGGACTTCCCGTTATCAGAATCCTCCTGGTCAGCTTGGGAAAGCGGATCCACGAGGGCCGTTCAAGCCCGTGTTTCCTCCTCTTCGGGTTCATTCTGTGCAGGCACAGTCTGGTCCAGGCCCTCTTCCTCCCATTATTTTCTGGAGGGCAACTCTCATGGCCCCATCATAACCCAGGGAGGAGAGACTCCAAATGGGAGGCCCATCACCATCAAAGGCGAAGAATAACACCAGCATCTGTCCCTGACGTCGGGATGAACTGGCTTGGTGGACTCATCTTCCCAGCTTTCCCCAGGGTGACTTTCTCTTCTGCAGCCATTTATCACTGAGTAACATTGGTGACCATCTTCCACCACCATCCTCTATATTCTTTTCCAAATGAGCTTGTGTCTTAGACCAGCCTTGCCTTTGGCCGCCATGTCTCTCTTGGCAAGGAGATCAAGGGTTTGGGGCTAAAGTCTTTTCTGGGCTCTTTGGGTCTCCTTGCTGTGACAATTGTTTTACATTGGTTAAGCATTTTTCATAAAATTGTTTTTACTTTTATCCATTGCCTGCTTCTTCAGTCCAAGGCTGATTTAAAAAGGTTGGGTTGGAGCTGTTGTAATTGCATGCAGGGCTGTTTTCTCATCTTAATCCTTTCTCCCACTTTGAAGTTACTTTTGATTTTTGCTCTAAGTCAGTGATCTGCCCTAGGGCCCCGGAGCCCTGCAGTCCTGGTTAATGAGGGCCTCCAGGCTCACATCCAGGCTGACCCCAGCTATGTTTCACTTTTATCCCCCCCCCCCCCATCATCTTCCCAGCCTCCTCTTTGCTAGGCCTGTACCTAACCCCACCCCCATGCCCCTTTCCAGCTCTGGACCCATAATCACCTCAATGCTGTCACCGCTACTAGAAAGGGTGTGGTAATCCGCCTCCCTGGAGCTCCAGTCACCATCCCTGGACCTTTCCAGACCCAAATATTCCTCTGGCATCATCATCTTCTATTAGAATGTAAACTCCCTGAGGCCAGGGACAGACTTCCCTTTTGTATTCGATCCCTACTTCTTGGCACAGAGTAGAGGACGCAGGATAATCGGTTTGTCCAGAAAGGGCCCTTAGACATCATCTCATCTGACCCTGTCACTCCACAAATGTTCCTCTGTATCATTAGCTCAGTAGGGACTAGGGGATGCAGTGAAGGGAGTGCTGAACCTCGAGGGAGGAGGCTGTGAATTCAAATCCTGCCTCGGACTGACGCTTGGAAGTGAAGCGCTCAGGGGCCCGAGGGTAGCAAGTGCCAGGCAGGGGTCTGAGGCCAGCTCATCCCACCCCACTTTCGGTGCTCTTTCTGAAGCATCCGCTGTCGCCCCAAGGCCACAGACGGTGCCCATTGGAGGAGGAGAAGCTTTCAGTGCCGCCACGTAGGGGAAGTGAGAAACAAAGACTGTGGAGAACGGTCCCCCGTGGGGGTTGGGAAGCGGCCGACAGGGGCCCAGGGGCCCAGGGACCCTTCCTGGGAGGACTCATCCTCTCCATTTGAGCCAAAGCCAGTCAAACACTCGACGTGGAAAGAATGCTAGGTCTGGAGGCCGAGGCCCTGGCCTTCCAGGCAGGCTCCATCCCCTCCCTGGGCCTCTGTGTCCCACTCAAAGGAGTGAGGCGGCCAAGAGGACCCCGAGGTTCAAACGTGGGAACGCCCCAGGGCGCCCTCCCTGCGCTCCCTGCCCCCCACCCCCACCTGCCACTGCGTCCTCCTCTTCCTTCCCTCCTCCCCTTCCGGCTCCACTTACTTGGGGGATTTAAGGTCGCGATGGATGATCTTATGGAGGTGGAGGTAATTCATGCCGCTGGCGATCCCCGTAGACCAGTCCACTAGCAGCCGGGGAGTGATCTTTCTTCCAGCTCGCAGGACCTCATAGAGCTGCCCGTGGGCGCAGTACTCCATGATGATGCAGTAACACGGGGCCTGGGTACAGACGCCCCTTCCAAGAAAAAAGAAAGACCCAGCGACGTTAATACAGGGTCACTTTCAAATGGTGGAGGGAGTCCCTGAAACACATCATTATTAGCACTAGCAATGAGCTAGGAGAATCTGCGAGTGCCGGCATCCTACTGCGCGCTGGAGCCCCACCGGCTATCCTTGGCCTCAAAGACCTTCTAGTCTGTCAATCAGTCAATCAATCAATCAATCAATCAATCAATCCATATCTTTGACTAAGCACCTACTCTGTGCCAGGCTGGGCACTGAGTATGCCAAGAGAAAATGGAAGCAGTTTGCTTTCAGCCTTTGTGTGTGTGTGTGTGTGTGTGTGTGTGTGTGTGTGTGTGTACATACGCCGAATAACTACAGATGAGGCAAGCCCAGGGTTTTCTGCAGCGTGCCTTCGGTGGGGTTGGCAGCGCTTCTCTGGGGAGGGACAGACCGGTGGTCCCAGAGCCACTCGAGAGGGGGACAGCAGCAGCCGGCAGGGAGGGGGTCAGGAGAGGCCTCGCCTTGGGTTGGGCACCTCCCCCGAAGTCCACGCGCTCAGTGGTGCTCACTAAACACCACTCCTGGCCCTGGCTGTGGACCCCGCCCCAGGCATGTCCTCGGTCCTCACCTCCAGCTCAGAGGCAAAGGACAGTGGCTGCCCTCAAGTCCAAAGGCTGGGGCGGGACGATGCCATAAAAACCACTACATAGGAACAAGGCTATAGAGGAGACAAACTGGAGATCACCAGCAGGGGGAAGGCACTGGCATGAAGGGGTCTGGGAAAGGCTTCCCATAGAAGGGTGGGGGCGTTTAGCTGAGATATGAAGGAAGCAGCCCGGGAGTCCAGGAGGTTTTGGAGATAAAACATGAACGGGATCGGCCATGGCCCTAGCAAATTACTAATGAGTTGTAGTACTGAGGCAGCCTGTTAGCTTCTCTGCGATGGAACAATAGGGCCACTAGGTGGCGCCAGAGCGCATAGAGTGCTGGGCCTGGAGTCAGGAAGACTCATCTTCAAGGGTTCAAATCCGTCCTCAGACACTTCGTCGTTGTGTGACCCTGGACAAGTCACCTAACCGTTTGCCCCAGTTTCCTCATCTGTCAAATGAGCTGGAGAAGTAAATGGCGAACCACTCCAGTATCATTGCCCAAAAAACTCCACATGGGGTCACAGAGAGTCGGGCATGACTGAAAAATTGCACGATTCCCATACGAACACTATTATCTTCCCTATAAAACAGGACAAATAATGCCTGCCCTCCCAGGATTGGTGGGAAGAGCAAATGAGCCTGAAGATGTTTTCTGCCCCTCCTTAGGTCTTATGTTCCTTGGGAATTAATAGGGGGCAGCTAGGTGGTGCAGTGGATAGAGCATCGGCCCTGGCATCAGGAGGACCTGAGTTCAAATCTGACCTCAGTCACTTGACATTTACTAACCGTGTGACTTGGGCAAGTCACTTAACCCCAAATGCCTTGACAAAACAAAGAAAAAAAGAGAATTAATAGATGTGGAATCTTCAGCTCCATGTTCTCTGTAGCTTTGCCACCAGCTGGCACTGAATGAGCATTCTGGATGAGCTCTGAGCCCACCCTCCAAAGACTCAAAGACGATTAATGCTAGACAAAGACTGTTAGCCGCTACTGGACCTTCAAGGTCATCTGCCCTAACCTCCCCCGCACTTTCACAGGTGAGGAAAATGAAAAGAAGGGTAATCAAGGGTTACACAGCTGGTATTCACAGACAAGAGGCAGATCCTGGAGTTCAAACCCTCAGAGGTCAGCTCAGAGGAGGGGGGTGAGCCTCCAGCTAGAAGCACCAATGATGCCCATCCAAACGATCGCTGTGGGGAGGAAAAGAGCCACCTGCCGGCAGAGCGAGGTATGGCAGCACAGGGAGCTCCCGCCAGAACTGCAGAACTGGCAGGGCTCTTCCCGGTGATCTGGCCCAACCCCCTTGTTTTATTTACAGCATGAAAAACAGACTGTGAACAGGACATCAACCAGGGAGTAAGGTGCAGCGGTGGGATTCGAACCCAGGTCCTTGGACTCCGGAACCAATGTTTTCTCCATCGCACTGTGCTGCCACGGGGAGAAAAACAGACGTTTTTAGAAAAATGGAACAGAGTGGGCAGCTCAGGACGGACCCAAGGGAGAACTTTGGCAGGAGCTGGGGTTATGCTCACTGGCCTATGGTTTACAGAACATTCTCTTTTCTCTTCATCATAAAGGAAGCTTCCCACAATGTGCTTTACAACGCTGTCACTGGATCTGTACAATAACCCTGGGAAGGAGGTGCTACGATCACCTCCATTTTGTCACTGAGGAAACTGAGACATCAAAAAATGAAGTGACTGGCCCAGAGTCACACAGCTAGTGAGTGTCTGCAGCCGGATTTGAACTCGGGCCTAGAAGGCCCGATTCTAGGCCCAGTGCTCCATTGAAGCACCACCTCCAGATACACTGCCTTACAGAAAAGGACAAAGCTTGCAGCATACAAGGAGGAGGTAATGAATGTGGGCCCATCTCCACCTCCTTTGTAAGCATGGCCCAAAACCCATTCCCCAAAGAGGAGTCTTCTGTTGTCCAGTGCAGGCTGGATGGAGTTATGTGGCCCTTTTGGGTGAATGAGGCCTGTAAGATGCGGAGGCGCCCTCGCCCTCCAGCCTGCCCCAAAGAGACTCAAGAGATCCACCCAGGGAGGAGGGGGAACCCCAGGAACAATGAAAGACTGAAGCTGGAGAAGGCCCAGAAGTAGACGAAGCTGCGCGCAGCGCCCTGGGACATCCTGGGGGAGTGGAGGGGCCGGCCGGCCCTGTGCTAGACCCTTTGCCTTGATGAGCCCACTTCCTCATCTGTGAAATGGGGACAAGGGCTGCAGCTGCTTCCTCCTCCCATCACCCCAAGAGCATTCACTGTCAGACTGAGCGAGCCACAGCACACGCCGGGTAATGGTACTATCTCCTGACTGAACTGCGAGCGCCTGGAGGGCCAGACTAGGTCGTGCCACACTTCTGCCGTGTAATGAGAATCACTAACAATAACTCACGTATAAAGTACTTACAATGTGCCAGGTACTGTGCTAAGGGCTTTACAATTATTACCCCACTGGATCCCCACGACAACCCTGGCAGGGAGGCACCATTATTAGTCTCATTTTTTAAATATGAGTAAACTGAGGCAAGCAAAAATGAAGTGACCTGCCCAGGGCCTTGCAGCTGAGTAAGTGTCTGAGGCTGGACTTGAATTCAAGTCTTCCTGTGTTTTGCACCCTGTGGCGCCCCCTAGCTGCCCATCCGTGGCCCCCCCCTCACGAAACACTCACTGACTGAACAGCTGGAGCCCACCTCGACTGGACTCCAGCGGGAATGCCCGCTGCCTCTTTCCCCTTCTCCCCGGGGGTGGGTGTGCTCCTGGGCAAAGGCCCGGCTCCTACTTACTTGAAGGCGATGATGTTGGGGTGTTTCAGCTTCCGCAGATGCTTGATGTCCGTCTCATTCTGCTCCCGCACCTTCTTAATGGCCACCTCTTCGGCTCGGAACTTACCCAAGAAGACGGCGCCTTGGGCTCCGCTGCCCAGCCACTGCAGCTCCGAGATCTCCTCGAAGGGCACCTCCCAAGTATCTGGGCGCACAAGGGAGAGACAGGTATGAAGAGATCTGTCTAAGGCACCGTCCTCTCCCAGCGGCCTGGCCTGCTTGGGGCAGGGCTGTCCTCTAGGTCATGGCAAGGGAAACCCAACTTTGACACTTGGATTCTGGTTTGGGGTCAATCCACGATTACAGAAAACAGACTAAGTCACCAGAGTCTCACTGATTTAGAGCCAGAAGGGACCAGAGGTCGCCTGGCCCAAATGCTTTTTTCAGAATGAATTTTTCTTGATATCTTTCGTTTTCACATCAACGACATTACCCAATGTATTCTACCCCCACCTCTCCCTCTCCCAGAGAGCCAGACTTACGATAAAGAATGAAAAAGAGGCACTGTGCCTATTTATTCCAGGAATACAAAGACAAAAATGAAAAAATGAAAGGTTTTGGCTTCAAGAAACTTGTGTTCTCCTGGGAGGACACACCCTGTGGGCAGATAAATCAATACACGACAATCTAAAGAAGGAGAAAGCGGTGGTGCCTGGCCGGAACTTTGAAGGTGACTAAAGCATCTGGAGTCTGAAGACTGCACTGCCTCCAGTGGTTTTCAGGTGAAAATGCTATTACTGTTCTCTTTCCCCCAAGGTAGAACTCCTCGATCCAATGAGCTGGGAAGGTACAGTTTTATCCCTGAAACGAAACCGACTCACTGTTCATTGCAGCCGTGAAGGGTGAGCAGTGGGTGAAAGATGAGCAGGGGGATGTGGGCATTAGCCAGAGACCTGCCGTTTCCTGATGTCACAGGGCTGGAGTTTGAAGGAAGCACCCCACGGGACGTCGAGTCAGACTCTCACTTTATGAGGAAGACACTGAACCCTAAAGATGTCACCTGAGTGATTCTCCCAAGGTCCCTGCCCAACTAACCCTACACTTACACAGGCAATTCTTGATGATGTTTGGAAATGCGACCAGCTCAGGCTACATCCCTTTCCCAGAGGGAGGAGTGAGATCTGTAGGTTCCAATAGCTGGAATGACTAGGAATCCTTCACACTCAGCCCTCAAAACAAAAGAATTTTACCAACCCCTCCGTTCATTCTCATTTTGATTGGTTTATTTATCGGTGGCCAGGGCCTGCTTACCCTGTACTGTTGTGTTTATAAAGATTTCTCTGGCTCCCTTGGTCCACCCACGTGTAAAACTCCCCAGACCCTCCCTTCAGCCCACCGCTCAGGGCGATATGCAAAGGCTTGAGCAGGGCCGGTTGCCTGGCTCTGCTGTGTATAATGCTTCATATGTCTTAGAACTGGAACCAATATTGAAACCCAGAGCAATAGGGAGGTGGTTGGACAGATAGATCAGTGTCCTTCGTTCACCAGACTCATTTGTCCACCATGTAACTTAGGGAGGGTTGGCAATAAGAGAGAATAAATACACAGATTTTTTTTTTTAAACCAAATTTAACCTATCATTTTTACCTCCTACTCACCAAGCTTTTCACTAGTGCTGCCCCAAACCCCAGAAATATTAAGTGAAATCATGATGGATTTTTCCTGGACTTGCTTTAGAAGCAGTGCTGAGTCAAGAGGCAGTTGGAAGGATCTACAGCAAAGCAGGAAGGTTTGGCCTTTTTGGCCTTGGAGAAAACCCCCTCCGAAAGCAGAGGGCTGGGCTTCAGTGGCTCTGGGGCTGCCTGGGCCTCTTTGCTGCTTCTCCCTATGTGACTCATGTGCAGACTCACCTGCCCTCGGCAGTCCCAATCCCCAGCCTCATCTCCCTGGCTACCGAGCTCACCCTAACATCAGTGGTGGGGTTTATTTTACAGGGTTCCTAACCACCCTGCAGAGTTAAATGTTTATTCAGAAATGAGAATGAATCATAGACTATTTAAGAAGACTCTTGGTGGTTCCCTGGAGCCTCCAGAGCCTGGCAAATAAGGCCTTCCACGATGGACTCCATGCCACCCCTCCAGCCCCATCTCACAGTATTCTCCTTCACAAACTCTATGTTCCAGTCAGATTGGCTTCCATGCTGTTTTCTGATCTCAACACGCCATCTCCTAGACCAGGGGTATCAAACTCAACTAGAAATGAAACCCACTAAACTGTACCTAAGGCTATTGGCTGCCGCACACTGACTTAGTTTTAAAATGTAATATTATTTACATTTTACTGTATTTCTCTTTACTTTGTTAAATTTTTCCCAATTACATTTTAATTTGGTTTGGGCGGCCCAAGGGAGTTTAGGGGAGGCATCGTGTTGGACATCTCTGGCTTAGACTGTCCTCCCATGACAGAAATGCACTCCAAAATAGCATCACCTCCCTGCCCCAGAATTCTTTTCTTCCTTTAAGGCTCAGTCCAGGGATCACCTCCTCTGAGAAGCCTTCCCCAATTACCCTAGATGAAGACTTCCCTTCCTTCTCTAATATTCCAAAAGCACATTATCTGGTGGTCACTCCCTATCTGGTGTAGTATTTGTCTGTGTGCAGGTCATACTCTCACAGTAGAACAGAAATTCCATGAGGGTAGGGACGGCTTCATTTTTTTGTCTTTGTAGCCCTACCATTTAACACAAGGAAGGCCTTTAATAAATTCAAGTTGTTCATCTGGCCAAAGGATAAGAACAGTTGTCAAAGGAAAACTTTCAACCACCTGAACAAAGTATTTAAGATCCCCAATTGTCAGAGAAAGGCAAATTTGAAGACCACTAAATCAGACTGGCAAAAATGGTACAAATTGGAAAAAGCCAATGTTAGAGGGGCTGTGAACACATGGGCACATTCATTTGCTGCTAGAGGATTGGTCTAGCTATTCTGGAAAACTCTTTGTAACAATGTAAGAAAAGCAACTCATCTATTTGTGCCCTTGCTAAATCTATTTCACTACTGGATTTGTAGCCAAGAAATCAATGTCAGAAAGAAAGGGGCCATAGTGTGTATGTGTGTGTCTGTCTGTCAGTGTGTGTACATATACATATATTTGTATGTGTGTGCACACATGTGCATATATATATATATACAATGAACACACATGTGGGTACATGCATATATGTATGTAGACATGTCATGTGCACATACATAATTAGATGCTAGCACTACTTGTCATAGCCAAAACCTGAAAATAAATTGTGCCCAATGATTAGGGAATGGGATGTTCCTGCACCATACGAAACAATGAACGTCAGTAATTCAAAGCCACATGGGGAGACTTGCATCTGGTGACAACGAGCAATGTACAAATTGTAAGAAGGTAAAGGAAAATGGGTCTAAAAGCCAATAAAACTGAGGCCCAGCACGAGGGCCAATTTTAGGTCCAAGTACTGAGGGAAAGCCCAGGTCCGTCCTTTCTGTTAATAAACCATAAAGGACAAAAATGGAGAGTGACAGGCATGCCGGGTGGAATCACTCAAGGAGGCAGTTTTGCTGACTTTTTTCTAAGGGAAGATGCTGTGTTTTTGTGGGGAGAGGGGATGACGCTGTGAAAACAAAGCATTTCAATGTTTACAATCTCACTGAATTGAATCTCATCCAACAGCCTCCTTTTGCTAAGGAGACGGCCCAGTGAGAGGCCTCCACTTGGACAAGGCCACGCAGGTGGCAAGAACAACCTGGTGATTTTATGTGATTATATTTCATAAAACAACCACATTATAATAATGACTGTCCACAATTTCCATGTGGACAGCACTACTGGTTGAGAGCATTTTCTTGGGCCTAAGTGGCCTCTCTCCACCTTGCTCATTGTTCCTTCTACGCCTCAGGCCTTCAAACACTAGAAGACAGCTCAGAGGTGCCAAACATGTGCTGGGGGTCCAGGAACGTGGCCCACAACACTCCCAAAAGTGTGACCCAAACCAGATTAAAACGCAACCGGGAGATATCTAACAAGAGGAACAAAAATACAATAAAGCATAGATAACGATACATTGTAAGACTAAGAAAACACGTGTCCCCCTGAGATCCCTGTGTACCGCCTGGTGGCCTCTACTTCTGTTTGGACTGCACGCCGCTGGTGCAGTCATGCTCCAGATTGAAGCTCCCCATTTCCTTCAGGTGATTCTCCTCAGCGCTCACAACCTGGGCGACCTTGGACCGGTCCTGAGACACCGGGAAATGAGAAGGTTGCGCTAGCTGGCCAGCCTCAGGGATCCCTGTGATCCACGAGATCCCTCCACGGGATGTCTCCCTGTGTCTTTGAGCTTCTTAGGCTGTGAGCCCAGGAGAAGCATCATTGGGTCAAAGGCTCTGTGCCATTTAAGGACTTTTCAAGGCCACTGACTCAGGGTTTTCTAGAGCACCATTTCACAACTCCATCAACAATCGGTTACTGCGCTTGTCTTCTCTTCTGTCAGCCCCTCCAGCACATTACAGTTCTGTCTTTTATCACTGTGGCTAATCTGATGGGTACCAGGTGAAACCTCCAAGATGTTCTGATTTGATTTGGATTACGATAAGTGATTTGGAGCAAATTTCTATGTGACTGTTCACAGTTTACATTTCTTCCTTTGGAAACTGCCTGTTTCTAACCATTAGCCATTTACCTCCTGGATTCACATGTACTTTTTTTTTTTTAAGAATGAGCTTGGAGGCAGCTAGGTGGCGCAGTGGATAGAGCACTGGCCCTGAAGTCAGTGGGACCTGAAGTCAGTGGGACCTGAGTTCAAATCCGGCCTTAGACCAAACACTTGACACTTACTAGCTGTGTGACCCTGGGCAAGTCACTTACCCCCAATTGCCTAAATAAACAATGAGTTTGTATTTCTTCTGATCCAGAGTGGTACAATTCATGGTGTTTGCACTATATAACCAGTCCCACTTTCAGCTCTCCTCAACAGTCCCCATTCACCCCTTCTAAAGTCAACATTGTACAAAACTTATTTTTTTTTAAGAAATCAATAATAGAAGTGCACAGTTTCCAGTTCCCCTGACTTTTCTTGCTATTTGTATATCTTCATATTTGTTTTTGTTGAGGTTTCTAAATTTAGGTTAGGAACTGGCTAGGGCTAGGGGCTGGGGCTGGCATCTAGAACATCTTTGGTTTGGGGAGTTTCCATGTGAGAGACCTCTCTCCGTCATTGCAGGTCACACCTCTTTATAATTTAAGACTCTCAGAGACTTGCCTGGAACACTGAGAGGGAAGGCATTTGTCCAGTGACCCAGCCAGGACGGGACAAAATTTAAATAAAAACAAGTCACATTCCTAATTGTGGAAGACAACGGGAAAGGAACTTGATTGGACAATCTCACAGCCTTTAAGTAGGAGTTCTTTTGTGGGTGGGGCAAGCAGAACTGCCTGGGAGAGGGAAGTATCAGGCCAATGGGAAGACATGCTAGCCGCCACCCCTCTAATGAGGGGACACTTAGGGGGTACCAGAAAGGGGAGACTAGAAAGAAGATAAGAGAACCAGTGAAAGGAATGAAGACTCAATGTGGCTTCAGGGGCATCTCTGTGGTGGGGAGGGAAGTGGATGAGGAGCGAAAAGATCTGAGCTCTAATCCTGGCTCATTGCCTGTGTGACATTGGTCAACTCGCCCCCATCTCTCTGATAAGTAAGGGGCTTGGGTTAGATGGTCTTTATCTGTTGGTATGGCTGTGGGTCATGGAACATTAGGTGGTGCAGTGGGTAGAGCATCAGGAGGCAGGAAGACCTGAGTTCAAATCCAGTCTCAGACACTTACTAGCTAAGACACCCTGGGCAAGTCACTTAACCTTGGTTTGTTTCAGTTTCCTCAACTGTAAAGTGGGGATAATCACAGCACTAATTTTGCAGGGTTGTTGTGAGGATTAATAAAGCAAGATAATATTTGCAGAGTGTTTAGTATAATGCCTGGCACACAGTAGGTCCTATATAAATGCTAACTATCATTATTATCATTGGGCAATTGAGAGGAATATGGAGGGCATGGGCGCTGCCCATTATAAACAAAGAACTCTGCAGGACCAGCTTTGGAAGGGAAAGAAATACATGATTAAAAAATAAAAGAGGATTCATGGGTCATGTGATAAGAGAAAGGCTCACCGATGGACAAGTTGAGTCCTCCCCAGCTATTCTCACAGGCCAGGAGAAAGCAAGGAAGGTTTCCTTCCCACTGTGGGTGGATTTCTCTAACGCTCTGGCAAACGCAGAGAAAGATGTGGACAAGAGATGGGCAGGCACAGGCTGAAATCTGCATTATGGAAGGGAACACCCTCAGGGGGAGATATCAGGGCCATCTGACAGAGTTCTAAGGTTCTGGTAGCTCCAGTGACAACTTTATAAACCAAATACATTGAACTTGGCTGAGCAAACACTTGACTTTGTGTTTATGTAGGAAGAAAAGAGGAGGAGGAAGTGTTTAAAACCTGGGTCCTCCCAACTTGGAGAGAAGCAGTGATGGGGGAGGGCCCTGACAGGGAAATCTCTGTGGAATTCCTTGCCACCGCCAGCTGCCCTTCTGCCTGGCAGGGGATCCCAGCAAGGCCTGAGGAGGGGCAGGTGGGTGGGGCAGGGGTCCTCTGGAGAGTCAGCAGGGAAAGGCTCGAGGGAGGGAGCCCTGCTAAGTGAACCTGGCATCTGGGGAGAGATTGCAGGGAGTCTGTGAACTTAGATGGGAAAAAATTCGATCCTGATTTTCATTGCTCTCTCACTGAAACTGCACATTTCCTTCACTTATCTAAAAACACAATTCTGAGAAGGTGGTAGGGGTGGGTGGTAGGGGTGTCCTGTGGCTTCACCCGATGCTGCCCAAGGGGTCCAAGATACCCACAAACAAGGTTCTGAAGCCCTGGTGGAGTCAAGAGAGCATGGGCTTGATTCCTGCCCTCTTGCCAGTATTCTCTCTTTCCTGAAATTCCCTTGTGCTGAGCTCTCTGTACCCATTAAATCATGGATCCAGGTTAAAAAAAAAAAGTTATCTGTGGGAAGCAGCAGGACTTGATGGCTGGAGTCTGGGAGTCCGTAAGACCTGGGTTCAAATTTTGCCTCAGGTACTTATTGCCATGTGACCTCTAGGAGCCTCAGTTTCCTCATCTGTAAAATAAGGGGACTGGATTCAAGAGCCTCTGAGGTCCCTTCCAACTCTGGCTCCACGATCCTCCGAGTCTCCTATACTGATGAAATCACAGGTCTGCAACAACAACAAAATCTATGTGTATGGTATATACATCTACCTACCCATATCTATTTATCTACTCGTATCTCTCTATTCTATCTATCTATCTGTCTGTCTGTCTATCTGTCTGGCTGTCTATCCATCTATCCATATATCTACTTGTGCACACCTTGCACACCCCCGGGAGAATGTCAGCTCCTTGAAGGCAGAGACGGCTTCATTTTTGTCTTGTATGCCCAGCACCTAGCACTTAGTAGGGACTTAATAAATCCTCGTTGAATTGAATAGGCGAGTCTGTCTCTCAGCTGACAGATGAATCAACTATCAAGTCACAGACCTTTAGAGTTTGAGGAGACAGTGCAGGTTGTCACTTCTAAGAGACGACCTTATGAAGCCAGTTGAACTCAACTTAGCTAAAGCATTTTATGACTATTTTATGTTTTCTCTGTGGAGCCCAGAATATCTTTAGAGACATCCACTTGGTCCAATAGGCAAAGTAAACATATTCTCTGAACCAAAACTTGGCACGCTTTCTGACAAAGGATGGTGTCTTAAAAATAAACCTTCTTTTCTTAGGCTCAACACTGCCCCAGAAAATCTGGAGGTAGGCTTGTCCCTACAAAGAGGCAAATGTGTTAACCTAGCCATTCACAGGCAGACGGGATCACAGCTCTCTGGCTGAAGGGGACGCTGGAGCCATCGACATTTCACAGACGGGCAGAGGGGTCCAGTCCCCTGCCCCAGGTTACACAGACAGAAAATAGCAGAACCAAAGCTCACCCCATGCATGTGCCCTCAGTTTTTTGGTTTGCCCAAAGACCAAAAGTGCCGTGACCTCCAGAAGGTCGTGGCGGTAGCAGCAGCAAGAGGGATGGGTTTGGACTTAGTGGCCCTGGCCCGAAATCCTGGTTCTGCCCTTCAGCCACTGTGCGACCTTAGGGAAGTTGCTTAACCTCACCGGGCCTGATTTCTTCATTTGTAAAATGTGAGGTTGGGCTTAGCCTCTGTGGTGCTGCCCAGACCCCTCTCTGGGCCTCAGTTTCCCCCTCTGTAAAACGAGAGGGCTGACCTCCGAGGCCCTGTCCAGCTCTGGCTCTGTGCTCCCAACAGGAAGGAAGGAAGAGGGCCGCTCCCCGTTCCCACACGTACCTTGCTGCTGGAGCTTGTAGTCGGTGGAGTAGGCCTTGCCTATGATGTTCCAGACAGGCCTCAGGCAGCCAAAAAGGCCTTCGAGGAAGCCGCCACTCCCGCTGCCTGACCGGCTGAACTGGATCTTCACGTCCTCCGCGCCGCTCGTGTTCTCTCCGTCGCCCGCGTGACCGTTGCCCTGAGAAGGGGCCGTCTCAGATTCCTCTTGTTCCCTGAGCTGCAAAACGCTGTTCTCAAACTGGTCCCTTGAGTCCTCGCTGACACTGGTCAGTGCTGTCGTAGCGACGGGGCTGCTCAGGCCCTCTGTTAGCTCGGCCCGCAGCACCCCCTTCTCTCCCACCTCCTCAAAGAGCTTGGGAGAAGGCTGGCTCCTGGGGGACGTGCGCTCGTCATGAAGCCCGCCAAAGGCCCTGTTCTCACTCAAGGTCAAGGTGGGAGAGGAAGACCAGCTCAGCTGCTCCTGAGGGCTGCTCATCGTGCCATGGGTGTGCGTGAGAACCGGGGAGGATGCGTGAGCACAGTCCCGTCGCAAGAAAGGGCTTCAGGACCTAAGCGGAACAAACAAGGGATATAAGGGTTCATGGGGTCACAGGTGTGGAGCGGAGGAGGCCCACCTTAGAGTCCTTAGTCTGAGTCCCACACAACGCGGCAGTGAGTGGCAGGTGTGGGATTCAAATCCAGGGCCCTAACGCCACATCCAGTCTTCCCTCCACCGCACCCTGCTTGCCGTATTGAATTTGGGGACCATCATCAGAGTTGGCAAGGATTCAGAGTCAGACTGGAAGTAGGCAGGAGGGAAGGGGTGTGGAAACAGACACGAGGCCATGTTAAGACTTCCCAGTGCTGAGCCAGGGGAGAATCTGAAGGCCATGACATCCAAACTTGCTTCCTTCATGCTCAGGCAAGGGCAGAGTCTCATCCGAGGCCCCTGAGAGGCATCAGGATGAAGAAAAAAAGCGAGCCCCAGCTCTGTGGCCAAATATGACTGGTGCCGACTTTCACATTTGGGGGGGTGGGGAGAAAAATCTAATTTCTGAGTATGTTTGTACCCACACCCCTACATGTCCTCGAAGCAGAGTGATGATGAAAGCAGGAGAAAGTTGAGACAACTTCAGCACCCTGGCTAGCTCCTATTTCCTAGGCACAGTAAGAGACCTCAGAGGCCATCTTGTTTAATCCATATTGGAGCAGGAAACCCTGAAACAACGTACTGGACAAGCGGTCCTCTAGATTTTGCTGGAAGACCCCCAGTGAGTAGTGACCCTAGAGACCACAAGGCAGCCCATCCCACTTCTGGGAGCTCCAACTGTTAGGGAGTTTTTCCCTTCATCAAGCCTAAATGTGACTCTTGGAAGTTTTCCTACCACTCACTGCCCTCTGTCCAAATGAGTGAACTCCTTCCTCCATGGAAGGCTCTTCAAATTCTTGAAGATGCTTATCTTGCCTTCCCTGAGGCTTCTCTTCTCTAGGTTAAACATTCCCATTTCCTTCAACTGATCCAAACATGGTACTGTCTGAATGCCCTTCCCCCTCCTGGCTGCCCTCCTCTGGACACCCTCCATCTTCCAAATTGTGGATCCTCAGTTCTGAGTGGAACTGAAGCCAAGAGTGGAACCAATACTTCCCTTTTTCTGAACACTAGGTCCCTCTTACTGCATCTCAAGTCAACAGGACCTTTTTTTGCTGCTGCTGTATCAAGACTGTACCCTCACACTGGGCTTGCAGTCTTTATGCCTTCAACCTTCCAAGCTCTCTTCTCCCTAGCTAGACTGGCACAAGAATCTTTAAGGTCATGCATTGGACTTGGGGTCAAAAGAGCTGGGTTCAAATCCAGCTCGGACACTTAAGAACTGCAGGATCAAAGGGGGCATTTGTGCTTCTTTGGCCTCAGTCTCCTCATCTGTGAAATGACAGGGGTTGGACTAGGTCATCTCTAAGGTCCCTTATGCCTCTGGGCCCTGTTCCCTCTTCCGTAAAATGAAGCAAATTAGACTTGAAGTATTTGTTCTTGCTCCAAGGCCAGCACTGGAAATGATACATGGAACTCATCATATACTTACACGGAAAAGCCAGCTTGACAAACAGAGATTCAGTGTTCTGATTATCTCTTTCTCTTCTATACTATATATAGGAAGGCTCATTTATTTCTCATACTGAGAAATTTTTATAAAAGAAAGACTGCCAATTCAAGTCAGAAGAGATAGGTTCACAGTCCATTTCTCAAGGAATCCTATGAGCCAATACAGACTTAACAGAAGGATCAGGCATGCTGACTGAATCAACTGAACTTTAAAATGATTTTTAATAATTTTATAATAATTTCTCCTATCTGTGCCAATATGCCTTTTAAAAAATACAAATGATTGCTTGCAGATGTATATTTTTACTGTGAAATAAACATTTCCACCCTGCTATCTCTAGTATGTGCAAAGACAACGTGTCATTTGGTGCCGCGTGGTCCTTCGAGGTACTCTTAACTTCTGGCCCTTCTTCCGCAGAGGTACGGGGGGGGGGGGGGGGAAGGGCAGTCGCAGCTGTCTGCTCCCAGGGTCACCTAGGCATGCTGCCAGCCACCCTGGCTACACTCCAAAATCACAGAGAGGAAGAACAGATGTCCTATAATGTTTGTATTTTCACTTGAACCCAGGACATTTTACGATATGTATTTCCTCCCTCAGTTACCATATACTGATGGGATATGGCTGTGATTCCTGAAGTTACAGTAGAAATATTGGTGAAATTAAGAAATGCTTAGCCAATTCTGAACCCCACCCCCACCCCAGATGGAACTTCTTATCTAACTGTAGTCAGATTTAAAGCTGAAACTGGGCATTATCCTTCATATCCTTTTCCACGCTGCTCTGCCACACTAATTTTTCTCTTGGGGACACTATCTTGCCAATTTGTAAATAAATCCTACATGGATTTCTGGATACTTTGGTTCAAATACTTAGATACTCAAACGGCTCTGTGATCTCATCCATTTGAATGTCCTTCCAGCAATACAACTCACCAACCCACCTTTGTTGTGTGCATTTCAAACAGAGGATCAGAATATCTACCATAAAACAAGACATTCTGGTCATCTATTGGAAATCCATCTACAATTCTTTAATCAAGATTATAAAACTAAGTTCCTTGTCTGTGGTCACATGATAAGAGGATCATCCCAGGGACAGAATTTTCCACCCAGACCCCATTTTAGTTTTATTTAGGGAAAAACAAACAAACAGACATAATTTCTCCCCAAATAGAATAAAAAGAAAATCACAAAAATGTTAAATATTGTCTGCATATTTCAAATAACAAATGTGCCTAATTCTAAGAAACAGCCAAATAAAACATGCTCAGAGAAGAGCCTGAGATTAGAGTCCAAGGACCCATAGTTGAATCCTGTGTGACCCTGGACCTGTGTCTTAATCTCTCCATGGGCCTCAGTTTCCTCATCTGTAAAAGAAAGTCCATAATGATGTATTGAGCAAGACCCAGGCCTGATTTCTCTGATTCTATAATACAATGAACTAACTGCAAAGTAGAAACTGTGCTAACGGCAGAGAAGGGTGAGTAAGATGCCTTTCCTGGCCTCTAGGAGCTCAGGAGTTGCAAGGGAATTAGAGATGGTCAGACACCCAGAAAGAATGACTGGGGCAGTTTAGATCCATTCTGGGATGAGGAACAACCTAAAACATTGTGATCTAAAGGAGGAGAAAGACCCAGAAAACAGACACAGGAGGGTAAGAAGATGGAGCCAGGCAACAATTAACAAGCTGCCCTGGACATGTGAAATTGGATGCTAGGATAAGAAGCTTAGCAGACAAGTTGATTGCTGAGTTATCCCAGAGGGAGACCCAGCTGGTTAGGAAGGCAAAATGATTGCTGAATTATTCAAGGAGACCCAGCCGTGTAAGAAGCCCGGGTTTACAGCAGAACCTTTTATTACAGCAAAGAATTCGGAACTAAATGAGTGCCTATCAACTGAGGAATGGCTGAATAAACTAATGCGTGCATATAGCAGAATATCATTGTGCGATGACAAATGAAAAGATGTATTCAGAGAAATCTGGAAAGACGAAATGGATTCAGAGCAAAGTGAGCAGAATCAGAACAGTTTATACAATAGTACAACAATGTTAAGAAAAACAACCATAAAAGACTTAAAAATTCTGATCAAAACAATGAGTAATCACTTGGTCCTAGGACAATGTATGTTCCCTGCCACCAGACTGTGAGGTGAGGAAGGAGGTGCTGGGCTGATATTTGGATTTGGTTTGCCCAACTAAATTTATTTCTCATAAAGGAGATTTTTTTTTAATTGGTGGGGGAGAGATATGCAAGGAAGATGGGGATAATGTAAGGAGAAAAGAGAGTCACTGTAGGATTTTTTAAAAGTACAGAAGATTCTGAAGGAGATATAGACAAACAAGATAGTTTTGAAACTAACATGTTGAATTTAAAAATGCAAGTTAAGTGTATTAGAAATTTGTGGTTTCATGTATACTTCTTTTTATGGAAGTATTTATGTTTGATGTTTTATCAAGTACAAAATAATAAAAAACGATTTATTTTGAATTTGAAAAAAGCTTATTAGGCAATCTGATTGCTGAGTTATCCATGAGGGAGACCTAGTAGGTTAAGAAGTTTAGCTATCCACGAGGGAGACCCTGATGATTAAGACCTCTCCAATCTTGGCTAGGTCTTGCACCCCCCCTTCCTTTTCTCAGAGGAAGGCTTGTGGGAGAATCGACAGGCAATAAGCCCGTCTCTTTGGAACTTTAAAATATAATTGTAACTCTTTGGTCTAAGAGAGGAGACTCACCCTCCAATCTGACACGGGAACACTGCTGGAGGGCCTGGGGAAGGCAAGGTGTCTAAACAAGGCAGGCAGGTGGCTTCTCCTTCTTCCTGCTCAGCCGGGCTTGCTTATAGGCACAATAAACACGCATGACCCAGCAGAGGCTGGTCTGACATTTTCTTTACTTTGCTCTCAAGGCCTGACACAAGTTTCGGTTCACCGGACAATACATTTCATGAAGTAGGGGACCATGTTTTCTCTTAACTTTGCATGGCCAAATGGCACTGCACCCCTTTTTCTGGCTTTTAAATGAATGCTGTTTTTGCCTAAAAGTCTGCATGGCCATGGGGGTGGGGGAAGGGGGATTAGAGATGAGAAGGGGGAGCCAGAGAGCAGGGGTTACTGGAAGAAAATCTGTTTATATAGGAATGGAATGGAATGGAAAGAATGGAGAATTCTAGGAATTCCAGGTCAATTCTAGGCCTGAGAAACTGGTAGAGTAGATGCCCAGATTACGGGGTCATGAGGAATGCCAGGGAGGTGGAGAAGAAAAGACAAGAGCCACCAAATCTCTTCTTTTTTAGCAACAGGAACAAGCCAAGACAGGACTCATGGAGGTGGGGAAACTTCACCACAGAAGACCTCAAATGGCCTGGGTACACTTAGGCAAGGGGGTCTCCCTCTTCTTATAATTCTCTTAATGAAGCTTTTTCCTCAAAACCCATCCACTGGGCTTTCAGGAAAGTCTCAGGATAA